GGTGACTTTTTTCCTAGCTGTTGGGGGATATTCTTTGGGCTTATTATTTACTAAAACTCCACCAAATAAAAAAAAGGATTGGTGTGGCACTTCCGTTTTTTTTTGGTTGGGCACAATTGGATTCTTAATTGTGGTAATTGAGAATCAATAGGAGAACAGGATGGTGAAACAATGGGTTAAACCCCCTATTAATAAAAATAGATAGCCACCTGGAGGTTTTTTATTTTCATTATTAGGGTTTTCATTGGAATATTAGGGGAAAGCGTTGAATTCCAGTCTTTGGCAATATTTCATATAGATTATAATAAGGGATTTAATCAAATTTGGAATCGTTTTGTTTTATTTCTATTCTTGAGGTTTTCATTGGACATTAGGGGAAAGCCTCGAAATCCAGTTTTTGGCAATATTTTATATCGATTTTTAAACGGGATTTAATCAAATTTGAAATTGTTTTTTTTTGTGGGGGGCGTGGTTTTCATTGGAATATAAGGGGTACCCTAATACAGAATACCCCCTAATAAAAACAATATATCACCGTGTTTACCATTTGGGGGGTGGGGGAATGTTTTAGTAATTTGGAGAGAGGCTTATTATTACATCAGTATTAAATCATTGTTGTTATTAAAATTATCATCATTATATATTAGAATTATCCGATTCAAATGGCCATTTAGTGCGGGGATTTTCGAGCTAGCCAAATTTGATTCCCATTTGGGGTATATCTGAACTACTCAACCATCCCACCAGCTCCTGTTCGTTACTTGCAATCCCCTTTTATCCTTGGTGAATAAAATCCACGGCCACTAAAACTGATATTGCCAGGTAAAGCGCATGTGTGCTGACGCTTCACCCACAAAACCCAGCTCAACCCCATTATTTATAGGTAAGAATTGAATCAGTAGCTTGGAAAAAATGGATATCATCCACTATATACAATTTTCTTGGATAATAGGCTTTGTCTGAAAATGGGGTAAACCCCCCAAAACGGCGATTGAATAGAGATAATGATGATTAACCAGTGATTTTACGGCCCTTCCCACGAATTTTGCGACAAATCTCATCCCATATCAACCAATAATTTTCGGTGATTATGACCCCCCTGTCAACAAACACCTTATAAATGATATCCCTATGAACTATCTGCGTAGTAAACTATTTCTTTAGATAGTTCACACCATGTATCTACGGATCAATATAGGATTCATCAAATGGATATGGATTTGACAGATAACGCGCGATTAAAAATTTCGTAGACAATTCATAATTTTCACAATTCATAATTTTCACAATTCATAATTTTCACAATTCATGATATACCATCATATATGTATATATATATATATATACGCGAGGGGCCTCAGGTTCTCCGATACCCTCAGCTGTGTTTGAGCTTGAAGATGTAAAAAAAACAGCTGGCGCCTAGGTAATTTGCCAATTTTTCAATAGTGGCAACGTCCTTTTCAACATCATGTTAAACGGATCAATTTTTTTTCGTCCGTTTTAAAGCAGAGTCATCTTGTGCCATACATTATGTTCTCAGAAGTCAGAAATCACATTTTTTGGTGTAAAATGGTGAATTTTCATTGTATAGTCATATCGTGGTCATGTAAAATTGAGCAAATGTACTGTGTTTTCTCAGGCATTTTGCGTCATGCTCATTTTGTACTGGTATTTGCACTGAATTGGCAATGCTTAGAAAATTGCAAGTGCTGACAGTCAGGCGTTTTTCTGTGTTTTCATTCTATATACTATAGTGTGAACACTTAATGTTTTGTCAGGAGCTTGCACGCAACAACGGTGTAACTTTTTTTCCACTTTTCCCACGGAGCTTCGAGGAAGGCTCGCGATGGAGCCACTAGGCCACAAGAAAGGGTACTTCTAAAGCGAGCCAACGCTGACAGCACTGCATCTAGACCAGGGTTCTTATTCAAGTAATGAACAGCTAAAGTGTTTCTATGCTCAATACGATCAGTGTTTCTATGCTCTATAGACATCAATAAATATATATATACATATATATATATTTACAAATATACCCGAGAGGCCGCATCAACGTAGCAGCAACGTAACATGACGCTACCATGCCCCACCCCACCCCACCCCTCCCATGAACGTAGCAGCAACGTAACATGACGCTACCATGCCCCACCCCACCCCACCCAACCCCACCGCTTCTCCATCGGAGAACCTGGGGCCCCTCGGGTATATATATATATATATATAGAAAATCCTTTCTGTAACCACAAAATGTTCCGCAAGAAACAGAAACCACTACAAAATAGAAAATATCCTAAATCTTATGCCATAAGTACAATTTCGAACTACCTAAGACCTATCTAGAATATGAACAATTAATCTTCATGTATTTTCCAATCACTTCCTATCTACCCTCCAATAAATTAGTACAGACCCTGACAAATAGGGGTTGGAAGATTCTACAATTTTTAACTATCTAATAATACTTATCCAGAAAATAAATACAACTGGTATTTTCATGTATTTTCCCACCATTTCTTATCTGATAAATACCTTAGTAGTACCAATAAATAATCAACAAGTAGTACCAATAGTACTTACTATTGTTATACCATAACTATTGTTATGCCGTAAAATAACATTCCAATACCATTCAAATAGTAATAAATACCATTGATACCATTCCAATAGTAATAAATACCATAGGATTAGTAGTAAAATACTGGAGGATACCATTTCAAATTCTCTAATAATAGAAACGATTCCGAACTGCTATTTTCAAGTATGTTCCCATCATGTCCTATCTGGTACCCTCTTGCAAGCAAATGGAAAATCACAATCATTAAATATCTTTCATTGGTAAATCAACTATAAATGTGCCATGTTCAATAGCAACCTCTTAAATTACCAGAGGGTAACTAAGTTAACCATAAACTTTCCATTAACCATAGTTGACAATAGTTCATTTAACTATAGTTGGTCATAGTTGATCATAGTTTCTCCCTTTATCCACTATGGTAAATACTGGTTGGTGGTTTCAACACCTCCGAAAAATATGAAAGTCAGTTGGGATTATGAAATTCCCAAGATATGGAAAATAAAATTCATGTTCCAAACCAGCAACCAGATGGTTTATGATAGATATAAGTATGGTCAATAGGGTTAATAAACTAAGAAACATCACTGGGGAAAACCATCCTGTAGGTTTCGCAATCCTATGGCTTATCAAAATAGATATACAATTACAATTGGTCATAGTTTCTCAATTTCTCCACTATGGTACAGGATGGGGCCCCATAGTTAGCTAAGTTGGTTTATAACTATAATAACAATAGTGTATGATACGCAAATAACTATATTTAGATGGGGTTACAATGTGAGGCCCCCAAGATAGCTAAGTTCATAACTCCAATAACTATGGTTTATGGTAGATATATCTATAGTTAATTAATGGCAAAAATTAATGGTGTTTAAAAACCAATTTATAACGTTTGGGGGCCCCACATTGTATAAACCAACTTAGCTACCTTGGGGGCCCCATCCTGTATGGTAACTAAGTTAACCATGAACTTTCCATTAACCATAGTTGATCATAGTTCATTGAACTATAGTTGATCATAGTTTCTCCATTTATTTTCCATTAACTATTGTTGGTCATTGTTTATGCTAACGCCTCTGTTAACGCCTCTGTTAGCGACCCCATAGCAATATCTTCAAAGTCTGCTGCTCTACCAGGTCAGACTCTCAGACAGCAAGCTTTCGTTCCACAAGTGTTGGTTGCATTTTAGCTGGGCATGGTGGCATGTTTTCTCCGTCAGTGTTTCTTTGTTCTTGCTTCTACCCCCATCAGTTGATAGGGGTTGGGTGGGGTGGGGCATGTTGACGTTGGTTTGAAGTTGCATCGGATGTGCACGCTACGGTGGGTACATAGGGTTGGTGCCAAGTCTTGGCGGTCGGAGTGCGGAAAAAAAAAGCCTGCCATTTCGCAACGTGGTCCATGTGAAGATGCAGGTCAGTAAGATGATCAAAGTGAAAGGCAAACGAAAGCTCACTGGAACACAATTGCTCGATCAGGTGTGGCGCCGTCTGAAAAAGTATGTGCCCAAAGAGTTGAGCACTCATGAAGGATTGGGCACAAGAGATGCTGCACGGCTTGAGCAGTATGTGCGATCCTTTCAGTTTCGCTGGAATCAGAAAATGAATCTGGCAGATGCATTGGCCAAAAGAGCTGCAAAGCATCGAGGATAAGTGTCCGAAAACATGACCCCGCAGAAAAAAGAGAGGTGTGGATCGCCATTACACTGCAAATTGAACATGATGCACATGCCCCTATGCAAAAAATGGTACAAAATGCATGTGTGCAAATTTCCAATATGAAAGAATACATACAAAACGTGGGACATTGGAGACAAGCATGTATGAATGTGGTGATGAAAGGCCCAGGGTCGCTATCAGCGGCGATACCTTGTTTATGGGTTATCAAAATCCACTATGGTAAATCATTGGTGGATCATTGGTACATATTGGTCAAAAAACGAGCTGATTGCTGTGACAAAAATATCTCCAACCTGGAAAGTACAACCAACAAACAATGGTAAATACCATAAATCAATGGAGGTATGGAAATGGTTATTGTATGGAAAATGATTACCTATAGTTATCAAAATCCACTATCATAGTACCAAAAATTATATTTGGTCATATTTACCACTTCCTGAAATGGTATTTACCATAAATTCTCCATTTATCCACTATGGTCATGGTTTATGGCTTATCAAAATCCACTATCCCATAGGATCCATGTATGCTATAGAGGGTAACATTTACCACCAATATACCCCCTTTATGTTAGCATACATACCAGCACCATGGATCCGTCATGGCTATGGAAAGATCCACCATTTTTGTATAGGTAAATCCACTACAAATGGCCATTTTCAATAGCGAACTGTTAGTTTACCTATAGTTATCAAAATCCACTATGGTAAATACCATTTCAGTACCATCAATCGCTCCCACATCGCCTGGCAATGGCCGACCGCTTCGCGTCGCGCGCTTCGCCCTCGCTGGGTGGTTTTGCCGTGGACCCGCAGAAGCCGCGGCGGGGGCAGTCTGCGCAGGCGAACATCATGGGTTTGTCTGGGTGGACGCACCTGGAGGATGGGTCAAAACGTGGATTTCTAGGGGATTTATAGGGAAAAGCCATGGGGAAACCACGGATTGAGAGGGGAAATCATAGGAAAACCATGGGAAAGTCTGATGAAATCTGCCCATTGAGGGGTTTGTTCATCTGAAATCCCAGTTGGAGGTGCTAATTTCTGATTTATTCAGAAAGAAAAACCTTCAACGTTTGGATTTGTCTTGTTTCTGTACTGAAAAGTGGGGTTGCTTGAACAAAAAAAAGAGGTTGGGTTGAATAAAGCCAAGCTTGTTGGTTCAAGGGAGATGCATGGGTGTGATTCAAAAAACAGAACATTGCATTTTCATGAATCTGGGTAAATTACAATATTTCACTAACCTGAATTAAGGCCATTTGAGGATGATTTCCCTTACTAACCATGATTTCCTGTGAGGTCGCAGTGAGGTCGTTATAATTTACCCAGATTAATCCACTAGACAAATTTCGGATATAGTCAGTAAACATGTCATGTTGATGGATGCGCCTAAGACATGGATAGAAGTGGCATGCACATTAATGCGTCTTAGGGCACTCCATATGTTTGAACCATCTCCAACAAAGTGACATCTATTATATCGCTTATAATTATCTCATGACAAATGCCAAAAATCCCTGATACCCAAATGAAAAAAGAATATTTACATAATCATACAACCCCAATTTCCTACGTTTTCCGACCAATTCCCACCCACATGTTTTATCATAAGGCTATGGGTCAACACGGCGGCATTCCCGGAAAAAAACGCAATTTTGAAGGGAAAAGTGTTGTCCGAACAACATGTTCATGTCCCATTTTGTGACCGCCCGACCCACCCCACAGTTTCCTCTTTATATGATGTTCAAAACGCATTCCCATTACAATATTCATGGGTGAGATGCAAATTGTCTTGGCAATGTCATCATGTTTGCTGCTCAAAACCAAATTGTTGTATGGTGAAAATAATGTAATGTTCCTACTATTACGGATGGCAAGAGCACAATCTTTGTTGACAACATCCACCATTTCTGTATGTTTCGTATGTATCGTGTACACCAAAACTAATTGGTGGTTTCAACCCCTTCGAGAAATATCAGTCAGATTGGATCATCCTCCCAACTATTGGGGAGAATAAAAAATGTTCCAAACCACCAACCAGAAAATAGTGTTTTTTTGCAGGGTGTTTTTGGGTCGTGAATTGCACATGTTCGGTTGTTTCATCCAAATTTTGTTGGTAAAATCCCCTTTTTTCTGATGGTGAAAGCATTGCCAATCTTGGATACCCTGCAACAACGGATTTTTTTTGTTGCTGCGTTCGTATATATCGTGACATACCCTGGTTGGTGGTATACCTACCCCTCTGAAAAATATGACGAATCGTCAGTTGGGGTTATGAAATTCCCAACTGAATGGAAAAATAAAAATGATGTTCCAAACCACCAACCAGATTGTTTATGGTAGATATAACTATGGTCAACGGGGTTAATAAACCAACATACATCACTGGGGAAAACCATCCTGTAGGTGTCCCAATCCTATGGTTCCAAACCACCAAATACCCATTTATACCCTCTGGTAATCAGTCACATGGTTTGCTGGACAATTCCCAATTCAGGTCGATGATTTTCGCGAACTAAACCTTCATGAACAGTTCGGGCATTTGCAATTGATACCCTCTGGTGACCATACAAAAAACTATGGAAAGATCCACCAGCGTTCATGGGAAAATCCACTATTTCTATGGCCATTTTCAATAGCTATGTTAGTTTCAATAGCTATGATTAGTTTTTCCCCACTATCCCCCCCGTTTGGTTTTGTTTGTGCTGAAATCTCACATCAAATCCAGAAATTATGGCGTTTCTAAAGCACTATACATCAAGAATTTGCTCACATGTTTTGTTGGGTTTACCACTCAAAATACATCTCTGGTTGGTGGTACCCCTCTGAAAAATATGAGTTCGTCAGTTGGGAGTATTATTCCCAACTGAATGGAATAAAATTGATGTTCCAAGCCACCAACCAGTAATACACATTAATTGGTTAAATCCCAATCCGTCTATTTGATGGTAAAATCCCATCAAAAAATCCCAATTGATGTTGGTAAACTCACGATGTTTGATGTTAAAATCGTATAAAATCCCTTGTTTCGATGACCAATTCACCATTTTCCTGTTTCAGTCCGCATCTTCCCTGCTTAATTACCCATTCATTGTTGGTTTAGCACATTATTTTGACCATGGCGGGTGTGACCACATATCTCAGCTGATTAAGATCCATTTTTTGTTAAACCAATTTTTTCTTGGTAAATTCAGCATGTGTCTGGGTAAAATCACATGTTTTTCATGGCAGAATCACAATCTTTCGTGGTAAATTCACCATGATTGATTGTATTTTTACGCCTTTTCGTGGCAACAGCACCATTTTTCATGGTCAATAAACCATTCTTCATGTTCTTCATGAAGCAAATCCCTCATGTTCCTTTGGTCAAATCCATCAATGGTAAATCACCCGTGAAATCACCATTTGTCGCAAAAAATCCCCATTTTTTCATAGTAAAACCTCTGGTATCCACGGAAAAACCATGGAACAAATCCGTTTCCATGGGTAAGATAGTTGATTTACCCATAAAAAAATGGTGTTGATTTTCCATATAAATCACCATTTTTCCAACCAGTCCTGTTGGGTTGAAACCACCAACCCCTGATTTTCCAGGGAGAACTCCAGGGGAAGTCCAGGGCACTTGGTCTTCTTGGAGACGACCTGTCCGGTATAGGCGGCCACCGCCATGCGCGAGTTGCCCATGACCAGCTTTCCCTCAGCTGCTGCCTGAAGAAAAGTGGGATTTCAGTAAAGAGATGGTGATTTAATGGTGATTTAATAGAGGTTAATGGGATTTGGTGATGATTTGATGGTGATTTATAGTGATTTCATGGATTTTAACGGGATTTAATCGTGATTTAATCGTGATTTAATCGTGATTTAATCGTGATTTAATATATCCTACGGAAAATTTAAGGTAGCTATTGAACATCAACATGGTTATTAGGTAAATCGTTGATTTGCATATATTTATGGTAATGCTGTATTGTAATTACACCAAACATACTATATAATTTACTATACATGTCAGTTATATTATAATGGCTAAAAGTAAGTCCTAATGTATAATCATATATCATCATGTTATCAGTTTATATAATGTTATAACTGACACTATAGTGGCATAGTGATACAATGCGGGTTGACAATATATAACTCAAATTCCTCACATTTAAACCATTATAGTATCACTTATGTTATGTTATAATATTTAGCTCGTTAAAGTGGCATGATGCAACTCTTGGTTAGTGATAAATGCATATATATATACATATCTATGTATTTGTTATTATATATTCATATATTACCCACTAATAGATCCGTTATATAATAAATAACACCCACTAATAGATGTATATATATATATAGTATATTACACCCTCTGAACGATTAAACATAGCGAACAGGAAAATCCACATGTCCGGTAAATCAGACTAAATGGACCTTCATCGAAGTGTCGACGTGTCGGTACCATGACACCCTTTGCCAAACAACAAAGTTATGAGGTTTCCGAAGTCATGGGGGTACCCGTAAATCATCCCTTTGAATCAATGGGAATTTCAGGATCTTCAAGTGGAGGTACTGTACCATATAAGGCCATATTTTGGGGGTATATCCCCTTACATAGGCCTTACATAGGCCTTATATATGGTAGGTACCTCCAATCAATCGGTTCCTGCAATGGCCATTGATTGAATAGGATTTTCCATTGTAAACCAACTATCTATTGGGATCTATTGGGGATCATTTATGGAAAGCCCCCAATGTGGCCAGATGGTTTCCGAGGCTAGCTCACGGTGAGATCCTGTTCATTTTCCCCAAGGATTCCAACTTTATCGTCAACTGAGTTTGTTGCAAAAAACTAGGGTTAAGTTGCCCAACAAACACTGGTTGGTGGTATACCTACCCATCTGAAAAATATGAGTTCGCCAGTTGGGATTATGAAATTCCCAACTCAATGGAAAGTCATAAAAATCATGTTCCAACCCAACCAACCAGAATAACTATCAACTATTAGTTACTAGTTATTTGTTGCAAAGAACTTCAATGACCTCAATAACTTAGGCTCAAGTTGCCCAACATTTATCCACCATTTTTGTGGTCAAACCTGTTGACTCTTCATGGGAATCCAAACATGATTGGGTCCAAACAATCCGTACAAGGTGGTGCCCCCCCCTAAATTTCGTTGGATTATAAACCATAGTAACTATAGATATTGGTTGGATTATAAACCATAGCAACTATAGATATATCTGATATATCTACCATAAAGCCAAGTTATTGAAGTTATAAACCAACATAGCTAACTATTCGGCACCACCTGGTATGAGAATTGCTTGATGACCAAACCCCGATGTGACAAAATTATGAATGTAACTTGACAATGTGGCGTAAGTGACCTTCCTGTGCCCCCCCACTTATAAATTGCCCTATACACCTATCTGAAAATAGGTATATCGGTATATCTTATATCTTTTATGGACCATAAATCCTAGTGCACCTACATAGTTGGACGAGACTCTTTGTTAAATCACCTATAAATAAATCACCTTTTTTTCTTGGTGATATCCCCATGGTTTAATGGTCACTATGAGGTACCACCTAGCGCCACTGTGTGCACTGTGTGCACTGGGCACCTTGTTGATCAACTTCATGAGCTCTTCACCACTGACCTTCTCCTGCCGATGGTATCACGGCAATCATGGCACCTCCGACTTTCGAGATCAACAGAAAATTGGGGGAAAAAACCAAACTTGGTATCTAATCCCATAGGATCCATGGTGCTGGTATATATGCTAGCATTGGGGGTATATTGGTGGGATCCATGTTACCATATATAGCAGCACCATGGATCCGTCATGCGAATGGGGATAGAACTGTTCAGCAAAAAAATATTAACTTATTTAACTTGTATTTAATATGATCAATATATTTTAAATATGATCTGAGTGTATCAATATATTTAGGGATCATCTTTATGGATACACTCAGCGAAAACGGGGTATATCACCGGATTAGGTGAGTCGAGTGCTTGGGATGAAATGGAACGGCAAAAAAACATGGGAGAATGGCGCGTAGCTGGTGAAAACAAATGAAAAAAAAGAGTGGGAATGTGGGAATGAGTGGGATGTGGAATTTAAAGAGTGGGATTAGTGGAATGTCAATGAATTTCAGCAACAAAAAGCGGGATGGGGACTATCATCAACACAGTCAAAATATGTCAAAATATGTCAAAATGTTGGAGAAATGAAGCATCTATCATAAACTCAATTCGAAGCTTCCAGTCAACAAAACATCTGTCAATCCTTGACTCCCCCATTGACCATTTCGCGTAAAATTTTCACGTAGAGCCTGCCAGGAGTTGGGGATTGAGAACAAAGTCCTTTCGACGAGAGAAATTGGCTGTGCTCTAAAAAAAGTCTTAATCATGGGTCATTAAATGTCCCCATTGAACATCACCCAAGCATGAATGGTATATGGTCTATAATGGCTACTTTTTCAGGTGATGTCCAATATACCCAAAATGGGACAGTTACCAACCCCCGTTAATTCACTAGATGGGTAGTACAAGGGGAGGCTCCCCAGTTATGTTGCTTTGTAAATTGCAGTAAGTATAGTCTAGTCACATATCAACATCTAGAATTAATTATGACTGGTTATTGTATCTCTAATTATGAATTATGGGATATCAGAGTTAGTCAACATCCAGAGTTTATTGTATTGACCAGAACTCATATGTCTCATAACTCCGATTTGATCTATCCAATAACCAGTCATCCATAAACCATAGACCTCCAACATCAACAATATGGTAATTGTTACAGTAATGACCAGTCTATGGTTTATGGATGTTTGATCAGACCATAGTTAACATATCACATTGTCACAAAATAATGATGATAATACTGGTTGGTGGTATACCTACCCATCTGAAAAATATGAGTTTGTCAGTTGGGAATATGAAATTCCCAACTCAATGGAAAGTCATAAAATTCATGTTCCAACCACCAACCAGAATAACTATCAACTATTAGCTACTAGTTCTTTGTTGCAAATAACTTCAATGACCTCAATAACTAGGCTCAATTTGCCCAACAATTCCACCATTTTTGTGGTCAAACATCCATGGATGCCATGGTTAATTCACCAACCGCAACCGAAAGTTTCACCAACGGTCACCTGGTCCATCAGCATCTTCGCCAGTTCGTCCAAGAGGAACATGTTATCCCTCAACCTGCCGGCAGTTTTCGAAACCAGCAGCGTTCCCACCCAACGAAGATTGAAACCACGGTCTTTGTGCCCCAGTTCCGAAGTTATGCTAAGTTGGGGCAGACATATATGCCGATAATGGTGAATTAATGATGGTTGGTAGATGTTGGTAGTAGCTATAGAACTACTTCATGGGTTTTTGAAAACCAACAAACATAACTGGAGGGAGGATCACCTTACATTTATTATACCGCTTCGTGATTTTTTTTCGGGAACATGGGTAGGTCGGAGCCACTGGTGCCACTGGTCATGGGAAGCCGGAATCTTCGGAATCCCAATGATTTTTTGGTGAATGAATATCCCAATTTTATAATGCTTATTGAAGTACTTATAATTGGGATATTATATAATCCTCTATATAATTGGGATAACTGAGTGAATGAACTATATATTATAAGTACTCATCACTATTATACTATTTATAAAATAAAAGTACTCATATCATTGGGTGAATAATAGGGTATATTAATTATCTGTTTATATATATAGATCATCTGGGTATATTAATTAACTGTCCCCAAGTATATAATAATCATTAATAATAGGAAATATAATTAAACATTAAATATTATTATAACACCATATTATATTAATTATACCCAATTCCCAAACAGGATAGTTAATATACCCAGATTTTTAAGAGTAATATTGGGAATACCCAATTCTGGGAATGTTTGGGGATTGTTAATATACCATTCCCAAGTATCATCTGTTCATATATCTGGGTATATTAAATAACTATATATATATATACATTATAAGTACTCATCACTGTAAAATAAAACTACTTATATCATTGGGTGAATGAATCCCCAAACATTCCCAGATTTTTATCCCAGCGGCAACTGCGTGCCGCGCTGGTACTGCTCATCCACGATGCGCTTCACCTGGCGACGACGGATTTCATGGACGACATCCGTTCGTTTCCTGCGTTCCCGAAACGTTAAAAGTGGTGGGATTTCATGGGAGTTTTAAGGGTTTCATGGGATCTTTTGTGGGAATTTTCTCAGGGATTTTTAGTGGGACTTACCCTGGGGTAGAGATGTGGAGGAGTTTTCCCATGGGCTTTTCCCCTCCGAAAATGATCTACAGAGTTTGCCATGGACAGATCCACCATTTTTCATGGGAAAATGATGGGAAAACCATGGGAAAATATGGTGATTTATATCGAAAGTCACCATATTTTTAATAGGTAAACCTAGGTAAACCATCTATTTCTATGGGCCATTTCGCATGGCTATGTTAAAAAACCAGAGGGTAACCATCCAAATGATGATTCCATGTGGTTTACTCACCCTGAAGTAGCTATATATAGTACATATATACAGTAGCCAAAATATCAAGTAGCCCTCTCTAATGGCGCCACGGAGTACTGGATCTGCTCATCTTGCGGTGTGGGGGAGTTATCCTGTTGAACTGATTGTTAATCAAACATGATATCTACCCATGAACTAGCTTTCATTAAAGATTAGTTAATTCGATATCAACCCATATACCACCAAAGATATTTAAACTATGTTATGATATTAAATATCATATCAATTATAGCATGATATCAACCCATTAACTATATCTGATCAACATGTTATATTAAACATGATATCATTCAGCAACTTTCACAGGCGGGAAACAAAAAGAACAAATGCTTTAGCTGGTCAGATCGATAAGTCCAAAAGAGCTCAAAAAAGTAAGTTGTACTGTAGTTGTACTATACTAATCAAACATGGTCTTATAGGTATCCTTATCCAAAGCATTACTTAATCATTACTTATACATATACAAACATTACTATTATGATAGTAATACTAACTTACCTAGACTTGCAACTTGTTGTATTATCATAGTTGTAATCTTATCTAGGATTATAAAGGTATAGTTGTATCATTTACCTATAACTTGCAACTGGTAATGTTGTATTAATTAAACCGTTGTATAGTATAGGTATCCTTCGCCCAGATTTACTCAGACACGGCTGGGTTGACCCACCAGCTGCAACACAAGTTGTTTTGATTTTGAGGGTACGCACCATGCAGCGCCCCCCCAAATATTATATAGGTGGTGTGTGAATCCGTCTAACTACAGATATATCTACCATACATAGGCAATTAAGTCTATATACCCTCTGGTAAACATACAAAAAACGATTGAAAATCACCATTTCTAATGGGTAAATCAACGAACTAAATGGCTATTTTCCATAGCAAACTGTTAGTCATTACCAGAGGGTAGTTTTTCAAGCCAACTTGCCTATCTAGGCCCCACCTTGGAAGATGCCCAACTTGCAGTGTACACTTTACAACAAGATCCGATTGATTTTCAACAGCCTCCAGTAATCTAACCAACTATATATATATTATAACCAATATATAACCACTAACCACAATGATTCTCATGGATTCTATATATATATATATCATATTGATTATCATGGATTTTCTACACATGGACAACTGAACCCATGATTTCCTGTTTGGGAAAGTATCTGTTGGGAAAGCGCGGCTTCCACCTGCAGGCTACATCCCAGAGTACCCATTGGCGTTGTAGTTTCAGAAACTACCCTCTGGTGGATAAACGGAGAAACTATGATCAACTATGACCAACTATAGTTTTTCATGAACTATTATCAACTATGGTTAATGGAAAGTTCATGGTTAACTTAGTTACCCTCTGGTTATGTCAAAATAGCTATTGAAAATTCTGATTTATAGTGACATGTCCCATGAAACATGGTGATTTTCCATCGTTTGTTGCAAACGTTTACCAGAAACTACACGGCATAGTCTGGTACTTCATGGTTTTTAATCCAACCATGCGAATTGTTGCCATGCTTCGAAAATCCATGGATGCAGGTGCAAAGAGAATTTTCTGGTACGATCTATTGAGCAATGGGAAAGGAAGTCCAAGACATCAAGGCAAACACACATTGTTCTGCAATACTGTATAAACATTATATATATATGTATGTATCATACTTAAGTAATACAGCTTTCAGTAATAGTACCCTCTGGTAAACTAACATAGCTATGGAAAGATCCACCATGCTATTAATGGCTAAATCCACTATTTCTATGGCCATTTTTAATGGATTTCTGAAGTCCCCCCAGTTGCTGTGCCTCAACATCCACCAACTGCTTCAGCTGCTGCGAAATGGGTGGCGCGCCCTGTCCCATAAAGTCACGGCCTGGGTGACTTTCTTGAGAAAAAAAAACATCCATGGCTGGATGATGAAAAACCATGGATGGTTTTAGTGATTTAGTGATTACTTATGATTACTTACAACCCAGAATTAGTGAACCAAGGTTTTAGTAATGACTATAAACCATGGATTTAGTGATTTCCAGATGGTTTTATAGTAAATGATGAAAAATAGTAAATGTTGCTATGATTCAAAAACTAGCACAATTTACTATGTTTCATCATTTACTTTCTAGTTGATCCTACAAATAATGAAACATAGTAAATTTATAGTACCATCTGGTTATTTAACATAGCCATGGAAAATCACCATTTCTAAGTTCGGTAAACCATCTATTTCTATGGGCCATCTATACCATGGCGAACTGTTAGTCATAACCAGGTTGGGTAGTCATGATTTTTTGTCGTCCCTCAGAAACTGCGGGGCCTTTGAAGAAATCTTGGATGGGAAAAAACTCGACCCGGAGCACAGAGATGTCCAGTTGAAAACGGTCCGGTGTTTTATCTCATTATTGATAGGGCTATAACTCCAATAACTATGGGTGATATAATGTGATATAATGTGATATATCTATAGTTAATGGGGTTTGTAAACCAATTTTAAGTTTGGCTTTCAACCATCCAATAATTAGGTGGTGCAGGATTTCGCTGGCCCATCCACAGTATGTCCAGGATGGAACAAATTTCGTAGTTCGATGATGGTTTTCTCCATTTCAAGATATCCAGATCTGTTTGCATCTTGGATTGGGGCTTGCTGGATTCCCGAAACCAGGAGCTTCCCTGTAGCCCTTCAAACACTTCACAAAGTGGAAGAAGGTGGTTTCAATAGCTGCTGGTTTCGGAGATGGTTGAACCAGCTCATGGTAAAGATATTCACCCAAAAGGAGGATATGAACAGATAATCCACTGCTTGGTGGTTCCAACTCACTTGGAAGATGTGAGATGAGCAGCTGCTAAAACCCTGTTGGTTAATCATTATATGATAGGCTTTCTAGTTGTACTATCAATTATATATATATATATATCATGGATTATCACAATCCATAGACTGAGAAATCCGTGACATATGAGATATTAATTATATACCAATATCTGATTATATATATAATGGGATATAATCACAATTGTAACAATGGGATATACCATATGGTAATTTAACATAGCTATTGACAATTGCCATAGAAATAGTTGATTTTCCCACTAAAAATTGTGATTTTCATCGTTTTTGGTATGTTTACCAGAAGCTACGCCGGTGTTTCGCAGCGTCGTTACTAACGCGAAAAGATAAGTCGTTTAATCGGGATCATCAACCCTTGGGGAAGCTGGAGGACATCCCGAAGAATGTATGCTGCAAAAATATCATAGATACCCTCCAAACTAACATGATAACTATGGAAAATTGCCTATGATCCCTCCTGAATCTACAGAACTTCAACATGGTGATTTTACATACTTAGCTTCGTTTTACTCGAGGGTATACATATTCTATACATATTCTATACGGAGAATCTTTGATCCACCCAATCCTTCCACGAGTTGGCAGTTTTCCCCATGAAGAACACAGAGATGGGTCAAAATTGGCTTCGGAAAATTGAGGAAAATTGTCCCATCCCCTACTGAATCATCCTTTCAAAAATCCATGAAATACCCATATTCTTGGCTATATCCCATTATAATATCTCGATCACAATCCACCTTTGACCCAAGCCCAGTATCCCGAAGCCTTGTCCGTAGCTTGACCAAGGCACCCATGAAGGGTCCCCCCTGCTGCTGTCCTCCCAGCAGGCGTTGACCCACCTCTGGGGACATGCCTAAAGTCATCACCATCTGCTTGGCCACCTGGCCCCGTGATGGCACCCTGGCTCCCAGGGGCACCCTGGGAGCCACATGAAAGACCCTAAGTCATAGCTGGGAATGTCGATGGTGATGCTCCCAAACATATGGTAATAATAATAAATAACAATAGATAATAGGTAACTTGATTAATAATAATAACAATAGATAACTTGACCCACCATATAACCCAAAACAAATGGGAGCCAACAAACCCAGCCAAGGATGGTTCGCACTTTTTGACCCGCATTTGCAGAGAGAGTAGATGCCAAGTGAAAGATTGAACCTTCTGGAATGTGCCATGTGGGTTTCTTTTTTCTTGAAATTGGGTCTGAAACCCAAAATAGTCCCCAATTTTCAGGAATACCATGACTTTGCTTCTATCACCATTGAGCTATCTTATTCCGTTCGTTTGTTCTATCCCTGCTTCAATGAAAACTGTGATAACCGCCATAAACCTACAGGGATTGCTTCAAGTGCTTCTGGATTACTTGGATTTGCTGATTCGGGGCTCCAAAAGAAATAAACCATATTCCCTTGTTCGATTTCACAGTTCTGGTGGATTTTCCCATTGGGAAAATAAAACATCATCGACAAACCGTAAATCAAGGTAACATGTCCAAAGTATATACTATGATTAATCTAGTTCATCATATTTAATCTAGTTCATCATATTTCTAGTGAATATGAACTGTTATATATATATATTTATATTAGCCTCTGGTAAATTAACATAGACCCCGGCAGATAGGGGTTGCAAGATTAGTTTCAACTAAACAATGGCTGTCAATTTGCCAGAGGGTAAGAAGTACTAACTAAGACCTATCTAGAAAATATAAGAATAACTGCTATTTTCAATCTGGTTGGTGGTTTCAACCCCTCTGAAAAATATGAGTTCGTCAGTTGGGATTACTATTCCCAACTATTGGGGACAAATAAAAATACCATCATTTCCTATCCAACAAATAAAAAACCCAAGACATGTCAGCGCATCACCATCCCTGCCTGAGTGCACTGCTGGAAGTCGTTAGAAGCGCCCGTGGTGACGTTGTCGCGGCCGTTGATGATCTCTTCCTATAGCGATGATAGAAAACACATGAATATCATAGGTAGGGCATATTATATGATCTATAGATGTTTTCTATCATATATGAACATGATATTTATATGTTGGCTTAAACATCTAAGATCATATATATATATGTTTTTTTTTTTTCGGGATTCTACATACACCAAGCAAAAAATTGGGCTATTTCACTCATGTGGATCTATGTGGGGAAAACCCGGTGATGTTTGTTGGTGCCCAGTTATGTCTGGTTGGTGGTTTCAACCTACCCTAATGGTTAATATACTGTTAATAATGGTTAATATATGGTTAATGATGGTTAATAACATTTTCTGGTTGGTGGTTGAGCCCTACCCCTCTGAAAAGTCTGAAAAATGATGGAGTGAGTTCGTCAGTTGGGATGATTATTCCATTCCCAACTGAATGGAAAGTCATAAAATTCCATGGTTCCAGTCACCACCAACCAGATGTTTGTTGGTTAAGAACCCCATGAACCAGACGAGTCATAACCATAGTCACCATAGAATTCAGCCACTTTTAAAAGCACGGCACCTGAACACGTGGTTTTCACCGCCATTTCAGGGATGATCAACCTCATACTGGATAGATTATGCTGGATGATTTCGTGGATGTACTATGGGAAATCACCATGTTTCATATGTAAATCAACTATTTCGACTGGGCCATTTTCTATAGCTATGTTAAATTACCAGAGGGTAATCACTATTAATGACCATCTGGTTGGTGGTTTCAACCTACCCCTCTGAAAAATATGACTTCGTCAGTTGGGATTATGAAGTTCCCAACTGAATGGAAAGTCATAAAATTGATGTTCCAAACCACCAACCAGATTCATTGATCAAAATTAACAAATGGACATCAAGCAATGTTGCCAACAAGTAACATTCATTAACCAAAATGTTAACATTCATACCAACAAGTATCTAATTATCCATTTGACAGTTGTTGGGAACATTTTTGAACCAAAAGGCTTAGCAGATTAAACAATATACCAGCGATAGCACACTTGTTAAAGGCAATGATATCCGTTTGGGAAAAATGGTGTACCGTTTGAATTTCTCATCATTTACCCGGGTGAGGTGATGTACACCGCGATCTTTCAGCCAGTGTTTCTGCAAAACTGGGATACAACCATGGTGCAACCGTGAGAGAGCGTTTAATATGTAGATCTAGATCTATTACATCCCTGTTGCTCTAACATACTGGTTGAGAGAGGTTGATATTTAATATTAAATATTTAATCCATATCTGGTTGGTGGTTTCAACCCCCCTGAAAAATATGAAAGTCATTTGGGATGATGACATTCCCAACTGAATGGAAAGTCAAAAAAAACCATGTTCCAAACCACCAACCAGATATGGACTTGTGTTGCTTAACATGCTTGATATCTACAGATCCCATTTTTGAGAGATCTAGATCGACACATGGGAGTCACCTTTGAGGCCACCAAACATACGCTGGTGAAGACATATTAAGACCCTGGTAATTCTTTGGTAATGGTAACGATCATGTATATATACAGATGTTCAATGGTAACTACCAAAATATATTTATAAACAACCTGGTAATTGTACATCATAATATACCATTGGTAACTTGCGTGGTAATAGAAAAAAAACCTGGCATATATATATTATATATATAGAATTCTTTAATGCAATTGCTAAGTACCCCTCTGGTAATTTGTTATATAGCTATTGAAAATGAACCATTTATAAATAGTTGATGTACCTATTATAAATGGTGTTCATCTTTCCAGTTCGCTATGTAAACGTAGAAACCAGGCCGGGTAACTGTCGGGTAATCAAAACCTGGCAATGGAACATCTATTCAATGGGAATTCCAGGATCCTAAAATGGAGGTACGTTAGTACCATATTTCTGTCCATATTTTGGGGTATATCCCCTTACATAGCCCTGAAAAATAGGCCTTATATATGTTAGGTACCTCCAATCAATCGGTTCCTGATGCATGGCCATTGATCTATATCCAAATGGAGCGACAGTGTTTTTCTGGGAAATTCATCCATGAAGGATCTTCCATAAAGCAATGATTCCAGGTTGGCTAATGATGGTTAAAATGGCTAAACTAACTCTGGTTGGGATATAATCCCTATAACTATGCTTATAAATGGTAAATATATAATCATGATATAACTGGTTGGTGGTCTTCAACCATATTGAAAAACAGGAGTTCGTCAATGGGAAGGATGACATCACATATATGAAATGGAAAAAAAACACATGTTTGATTCCACCGACCAGATAAATGATGAACAAACTCATCTAAATTGCTACCATTTTACATTGCTCAACAATGGAACCTCAATCCATGATAACTTTTCCACCTAAAATCCTCCAACTTGGCAGGTATAAACGTCATTGAGGGACCATCTGGATATTTCTATGGTTGAAAATAGATCACCAACATGTCATATCACCAGATTATTGTTTTTATCATAGTAAACCCCCTAAAAGATAGAAAAGTGAACTCCACTCCCAATAAAGTTGTGAGAAATAATTGTTCTCCTTTTGGGGATTCTATGTGGTTCCAGCCCCTACCCCAACATACCTCAACTTTCCCTCACCAAAAAACACAATGAACATCGTTGAACCATGCTAAAAAAAACTCTAAGCCCCCCAGATATCATCAGATCTTTTCTCCGACCCCCAGATATCATCAGATTTGATCCGCATCTTTCGATACGAAACCCACCAGGAATGGCAGATTCGCAGATTAGGCGCTGCAATGCGGCCGCCAAGGGCCACACACATGCGATTCTCCAAGAATTCCTGCGTCGCTGGAGACTTTGGGATACTTTGGGATATACCAAATAGCTACAACAAATATATGAATGTATATCATCTAATAGAATGTAGAACATGGATGTACCAAACATGCAAAATAGTTTTTTCTTTTTTCAAAAAATGGATATACCATGATATACCAGGGAATTGCTATACCACATGGCTTGCGGTATCTATATTCGAACAATGTATTTGTCATCGCATTTCAGTTTTGGCCAAACCTGGAGCCTCGATTGGTGCTCGAATTCGGTGAGTCGGTGAGCCGGTGAGGTGTAGTAATCTGCATCTTTGACATACCCTCCCGTGTCATCAAACATGGCAACGGAAAATCCCCTATAAATGGAAGTTTTGATGGGAAATCATCTATTTCTATGGGTGATTTTCCAGCAAATCGAGAATCTATAGCTGTAGCCATCCTGCGGTACCCTCTGGCAAAGCCAATGGACAGTTGATGAAGCCGTTTTGTTGCGCAAACCTGAGGCTTTCTTACCATCTGTTTCAAGGTAAAGGGGTTGTTCCTTATACAAATTGAGGATCCGCAAGCCACAAAATCGGGTAAAGGTAGCCTCTGGTTATTTAACATAGCCATGGAAAATCACATTTTTTAATAGGTAAACCATCTATAAATGGGCCATCTATACCATGGCTATGTTAGTCATAACCAGAGGGTAGCTGGTTGAAAATGGTCTTCCAATTGAGGTGGCAGCTATCCCCATCCCAAGCGCTAGGAAGTTGTGTTAGTCCACTATTGATGGGATGTAATGATATATCCGTACCCACATATATATATATACACTAAGTGTATGCGCAATTATTGAATAATTGAAAAGAATATCTATATCTATATCTATATCTGTATATATATATATATCATTATAAATAGATATACAATTACACTATGTACATATGTATAATTCGATATATCATATATTATCATATATATTAACAATTTTTAACCATTATTGAATACTATTACCAGTATGTATACATTGTTATATATATATATCATTATCCATTATAAACCATTATTAACCATATTATTAATCCAAACCAGTAATATATATATATATATCTATACATAAATTCTTGTCATATATGTACATATAATCATCAAATTGCCATGGATCATCCCCAGCTTCTCCCGTTGGCTCCGCTCCGCGGCTCCGCGCACCTTGGAGTAGAGCCCGGAGTTGAGCCGTTCCTCGGAGGGCATGAAGATCGTCACTCCGCCCGCGGGTCCGCGGGGGACGATGCTGATCTTGGCCACCACGTCGTAGTCGTTCATCAAGGCGCCTTAAAGGAGGGAACGGGGTGGAAGCCATGGGGGAATCCATTGTAGATTCATATAGATTCCCTAGTTATGATGTATTGAAAAATATCTCCAGTTGGTTATAAAACTCCACTTAGATGGGCCATGGAGTTAGGGAAAACTAGTTAGTTTTTATGGATTATTTCATTCCCCAGTTACTAACCATGAATCGCTAATCCCATGGCCCATCTAAGTAGGGGAAATCCTGGGTTGGGATGTTTTTTGGGAGACCGATCGAGGGAAAATCCAGATCCAGGTGAAATGTGAGATTTTGGATGGGATTTTGATGGACCTTCGGGAATCTCTGCTGCTTTTTTTTTGTAAAACTGCGTGCTCTAGGCACCTGGGAATATGTGCCAAACAAATCTGCAGAAGATTGGATTGTAGATGGATTTAGATCGATTTGTGAGGATTTGTGTTCATCTTTGTGTATGTCATTAATGAGCATTAGATGGTATTTCTACGGATGTTTCTTTAGGATCTGTACGGGTCAATGGTGCAGAACTGGGACATGGGTAAGAGCAGATCAGGGAGATAGATACCCTCTGGTAAACATACAAAAAACTATGGAAAATCACCTATTTTTCATGGGTAAATCCACTATTTCAATGGTCATTTTCAATAGCTATGTCACAAATTACCAGAGGGTACTGATCCGTATAGATCTATATCAAGATCTGTTGAACAAACTACACAAACATCGTGTGCCCTTGATGCTTGATATACCTATATTTGTGCTAGTAGAAGTAAAGATCTGATATTACAATGCATTATATAGAGATGATAGATCTGATGATATTTTAGATCTGATGACATAATAGACATATATGATATGATATTATAGATCTGATGACATATATGTATATCATTTCTGACTTACAGATATTACCTGGATAAAAGATCTGATGATAGATCTGATGACATTACAGATATTATAGATCTGATGATAAAAATCATATGTCTATCTGTGCCTTACGCCCATGTTCTCATTTCTTGACTTAGACATGGACTATCTGACTGACCAACAAGTTGGGCTCCAAATGACGTGCTCCGAAAAAAACTGGAACCCCAATTAAACAAACTATATTGTATAATATTGTTATATATATATAATGTACATAGTTTGTACTATGTAAATAATATGTCAGCTGTAGTTTGGGAGTATTGTAAAATATTATATGTATATTATAATATTATCATGTCCCAAACTATAGTCAACATATATCGTTATCTAATTGCGGATTGATATTTATCAATCCCAAGTACCATATGTGCCACGTCATGATATATGGGCTATAGTAATCCCATCATGGCTGAGATATCCTCATTTTTAAGCACTGTAATTTCAATGGCCATTTCAGGAACCTAAATTGGAGGTACCTACCATATGTAAGGCCTATGTAAGGCCTATGTAAAGCCTATGTAAGGGAATATCCCCACATATTGCCACATATGGCCTGAAAAATGGTACTAACGTACCTCCATTTTAGGATCCTGAAACCATTCACAATTCCCGTGTTTTTCATGGTGGTATGACCATCCCCAAAAATAAATGGGAAGCCATCGCATGTCCAACGTTTGACCATGGCACGTACGTGGATTTGATTCACGACATAGTCATGGGATGCACCCCAAGTATGAAAAGCAAAATTGTTGGCTACATCACCATTACTGGTTTGTGGTATGCCTACCCCTCTGAAAAATATGACTTCGTCAGTTGGGATTATTCTTCCCAACTGAATGAAAAAATAAAAAATGTTCCAAACCACCAACCAGATTATATCCCGTTGTTTTTTGTTATAGGAAAAAACAAAACACATTTTGATGGTTGAATACATCCTTTCCCTGTGCAAATCTGTTCGGACACCCCCCACCTCTAATCCCTATGGCACATGAATCGTATGCATGTATGTATGTATATATGTCTGTATGTATTTATTGATTTACTTATTTTTTTATGTATATATCTCCCAGTAAAATCCCCATTATATCACAGTCATATTCCCATCTTGGCTGGTTCCACCAAGGACTGTCACCGCCTGCGGTGCTGCTGGAGCGCCCAGGATGGCATGACCTGCCTCGTGGTAGGCCACCAACTTCTTCTTCTTTTCGCTCATCACGGCCTCAGCGAGGCTGAAACTCAAGGTGATGTGCCCCGTTTAGCATAGCGAAGTTGCTGCAAATCACTAGGTCATCTATGGTTTATGGGTGTTTATGGTAGATATATCCACCAATTTCATCATTTCATCAGTTTTTGGGCCAACAAGATGTGCAAATTTCTGTGAAAGTTGTGAGTCGAGATATTGTTGAGATACTACAGTAGGGGGTATAATATGATAATATGGTATAATTGTGTATTTTATTTTTTTATATAGGGATATTGGTATACATAGTAGTATCTCCACAATATTATATATGGTATACTGGTGTATAATATGATCTCATATGGTATAATATTTACATCGGCACACATTATCCCTGCTTTTGAGAATCAATGGGGAGATCACCAAGGCTTGTGAGTTGATATATCTTTCCTCAGGTCATCACAAAATACGACCTAAGCTGGGAAATCCCCCAATAAAAGATGAACATTTCAATGGGACTCTCATTAACATAGCTATGGTGGATTTTCCCATAGGAAAACCATAGGAAAATGGTGATTTAAGGGTGATTAATCCATAATTAGCCTCTGGTAAACTGTTGCATAGCTATGGAAAATCACCATGCTATTAATGGGAAAATCAACTATTTCTATGGCCATTTTCAATAGCTATGTTAAATTACCAGAGGGTAAATGGTGGATTTTCCATCAAACCATGTTCGACTATCGGATGGTACTACTTGGGGGTACACTTGCAAGAGTTGCTTTTGCGCAGCAATTTGTGGTTAAGGACACCAAGGGCTGTGTGTGTGTTTGGGAACAGAAACATGGTATGTAATCATCAACATATGTTTTGAATTGTACTCAGATGATGTTACCCGCCACAAGTGGCAATTTGTGGCTAGCATTTTTGGCTTAAAAACACCCTTAAAAATACGATGTGGGATCGGATACACCCAATTGATAATTGATCCCAACCGCTAGCTATTTCTGGCTAAGAAGGATTGCGGCTTGAGCTTCACTTCCCACAAGAAACATGGTCAATCTTTGATAGTCCAACAAAAATGCTGCTTATGCCAGACATTTTCCAGCAAAACATAAAAATCAAAAACGCTGCAGGATTCAACGTAACCCATCTGCCAGCAGGGATATCATTTTTCTGCCATCGGCGAACTGGCTGTACCTCAGTTTCGCATTCCGCTGGACCTGGCGGACCTGTACAGGGCGCAGGGCCCGTAGGGCCCGTAGGGCCTGGCGGAAGATCGTGCAATCCCGCGAACAAGCGGTGCACTGCTTCAACGGCCTTGGATTGGCTGATTCCGGGCTCCAACAAAAATGGTTAATGTTGGCAACCCAATGCCATCACCATTTGGGGATGCTTATTGATACAACATGATACAACCATTTGTGGTGAGTTTGGGGATGGTTTACTATTCAATAGTAACCATAGTATCCCTTAGATGTCCCATCTCTGGTGGATTTCCATTGGGAAAAGCAAAAAATCACCAACTAATCAAACTCAGGCTGCATGGGTTGGGGGTGTCCTAGTACCAATCCCCGCGAACTTCAGCTTTGCCGTGAGCATGGGCGGCTCAGCAAGAGTCCAAGATTGTGTTCGGCAGTCCCATCTCTGCCAAGCAGCCTGGTTTACATCATAGAGCCATAAACGACATGCGTCCGCAGGCTCAACACCCAATGGCTCGAAGCGATTCACGTATACCTGTGCTGCCCATTTCGTCCCACCACCCATTCGTAATGGATAGCTCGCAGCCGGGTCTGTCCAAGTGACACAAAACATCACATCGCACCATAGGGCCTGTAGGGCCGAGCTTTTTAAGTTGCTACTGGTCCCTAAGGGGGAAGATAAGCCTATGATGATCCATTTACCAGGGTGTTTCGGAACAAAAACCAGCGAACACTTTCACAGCAGTTTTTTGATTGTTGGGTTTGCTACTGTTTGCAAGAACATACTTTTGTCTTGGCGGAATTCGCGATTCGTAGCTGATTCTTGTGGGGGTATTTCAAGCCTCCAAACAACTGTGATATATTGGGATATGGAGGTTTCCTAGAATGGAGGTAGCCCAGAAATGGATTGTTTACAATGGAAAATCTCATTAAAATGGATGATTTAGGAGTAAACCCCCATTTATCGAAACCCCAAAAAGGCCCTGTGATCCGCTCACTGTCTCGCATCGAGACGGTCTTCTGAATGGAAAGCTCTCTCTTTGAGCCCATCAAAGCCCTATGGGGCTCTCTGGTAAACATACAAAAAGCTATTGAAAATGGCCATAGAAATAGTTGATTTACCCATTAATAGCATGGTGACAGAGGGTAACTATCGACATGGGCTTTTTTTTGAACCCATCTAGTGGGATATCCACCATGAATCCCACTTAAAAGTAAATCCAATGCCATAAACCATCCCCAAATGGTAGGTTTACTATATAAGTTTATGTGTTTCCCACATGACCCTGGTTAGTATCCCAGTTAACCTAAGATAGCCTGAGTAACCCATATAATCTAGGCAAATTATAATAGATCACTAACTTGAAATAGGCGGCGTTATTAGGGATATTTTCCCTTACTAACCATTGTGAGGTCACAGTGAGGTCGTTATAATTCATCCAGATATAATTAACTGGATACGTAGCAATCAGGCCTGAAAGACGTTCCGACGAAACAGCGACAGAACCTGCCAATTCCTTCTCGATGGCATGCTCTGATGTAGCTGCTTTGCAGCGGCGCGTAAGTGCGGATCACACCTCAAGGGATTGCTCTGAAGCCCGTTGCCAAACATGTGCTTATAAGGGCATGGCCCTTTAAAAAAAATTGAATTGAAAAAACAAAATTGATCACTGTACTTTGGAAGGGTTTTAGTTTCCATCTTTCTTGGGGCTACTCCTATATTCTGTACAAGTTACTTTCAGGCCTGGTCAGAAAATGAAAAGAACACAAACGATACGCAAAATCAAAAGTATATATCGATCTATCATATCCCAAGTCTTATTCAGAAAATATAAATCCAAAAAACAAAAAACAGTTCCTGGCAAAGAATATCTGTAGGAAACCCCCTTTTTTTGGGGCCAAGTGGCCCCGCTCAAGTTCTTCAATAACCAATACATTGAACCTCAGGCACAGGCTCTCAAGCGCATCATCTGGCACATCCACTCGCCCATGAGACCTCGCTGCAAAGCCACGATGTCCAGCGAAGGACCAGTGGAGGCACTGACCGAAGGGCGCAAAGCGGGCCATCGCATCATCAAAGACAGTGTCCACACCCTCTGCTCCACCTGGCTGTCTCAATTTTTCTTTGTTTAGAATATTCCTGTAGAAGGCAGTGCTCAGTGATTAATAGTTTTTTTTGTTTAATATATATTTATATTATATTATGGTTGTAAGGTTATACAATGTTATACCCAATATCACCCCAACTACACCCCCAAGTCGGATAGTATGAGCGCCTCGTCCTCCGTGACAGCGACACATCAAATAGGGTGTACCGTAAAATGGCAATGTCGTAGCAAAAACTGATGATACCCTCCGGTAAACAAACATGGCTGTTGAAAATGGCCATTTGTAGATTTTGTAGTGGATTTACCCATCAAAAATGGTGATTTCCCATAGTTTTTTGCATGTTGACCAGAGGGTAAATTCCATGGATTTTGGGGTATCAAATGCCTATTTTCAGAGCCCATGTGCCGTCCCTTGGGTCAAAAAACATCTCTTCGGTCCCTGAACGACACGGACCTGAAAACAAGGTCAGGGACTCGTGGCATGGCGGCCCGTTGCACATCTGCAGCACAGTCTCAAGACTTGGAGACAGCGAGCCGTGTGACGCCATCAGCGATGGGTTTCGGTTGGTTTCGAAAGCTATCCATTCTTTTTTAGAGATGTTTAGAAACCCATCTAACATCATATATATATATATGTATATTCATAGATATAGATAGATATAGATAGATATCCCTGCACATATATTATATATATACATACAAACCATTATAATCAATAAAGTAAAACACGGGAAAACACGTTTTTCACACCAACATCTCTATGTTTGTGTACCCAAGCTGCCGCTGGATCCTGGAAACTGCGGGAAAACCGGTGGCCGGTGGTCCCGTGCCGCTCTATGTTTGTTGGATTTTATATATGTTAGATATATGTTAGATATATGTTAGATATATGTTAGATATATGTTAGATATATGTTAGATATATGTTAGATATATGTTAGATATATGTTAGATATGTTTATATGTGTATATATATATATACATTCACATAACCATGGTAGAACATATCTAACAATCTAGATATATCTAGAATAAAGATCCATAAACCATGAGTTATTGTTAGATATGATTTATTGTTAGATATGGTCAAAAGTATCACAAAATAAATATCATAATGGGCAAACTATCGTAAACCAAACATATCTACAACACGTTATGATAACCTCCCAGTCATTGTACTATCTAACTAACATTATCATAACCAATTTTACCATATTTTGCCTTCAGTATTTACCAATATCTACCATAAACCATAAACTTAGAGTAAGTTATGAACAACTGTGTTTGTTGGCTACAAACATCAAACCATACTAAATACATTTGAATAAATGTTGTTAAACCAGAAAATCAATATCCAAGAATCTGACTATATCATGATCTAGGGACCATCAACGTCATAAACATCAACAATGAGTTATTGTATGTTATTGTTCTAAGCATCAACAATGAGTTGTTGTTTGATATCTAACCATAAGTCATTGTTGATGTTTTTGAAAGATATACCATCTGGTTATTTAACATAGCCATGGAAAATCACAATCTTTAATAAGGTAAACCATCTATAAATGGGCAAATGGGCCATTTTCCATGGCTATGTTAAATACCCAGAGGGTACTATAAACATCCATAAACCCGCAGTCATTATAGTCAGCAACTGTCTCACACCTAGCCCTCGAGGCCGTTGCCCGATTCTTGTAGGGATTTTGATGGGATTTCATGGAATCTTTACGGGTTTTCATGGGATTTAATGGCATTTAGTGGGAATTCATGGGATTTTATTGAGGTGATTTATGTAAGCTAAGATGCTGTACAAGTAGTACAACTCGGGGTGGGTAATTATAACTATACTATTGTAGTTAATGGGGGATGAGAACCAAGAAACATAATTAACTGGGGCGGGCACCTTGTATTAAGTACCTAGTGGTCAGTTTATGTGTTCAATCTTCTTGGGTGTAATGTTTTGCCTGCTACTAAATCTGCACCAGAAAATGGGCTGAAGTTTCCCGCGGCGCCACCATGATTTGTGGCTGGGAAACTCAGATTTTGATTAGAAAGATGGATACCCTGTGGTAATCAAACATGGTTTGGTTGAAAATCCAACATTTGTAGATAATGTTCCCATTTGGGTATGGGTCAAAAAATTAGGTACCCCAATAATTGGATGGTGAATACTAAACTAGACATTCACATCTGTGGTCCCCTTAACGGTCTTCCATTTTGACCCACATCCATATATATATATATATATCATATTAACAATAGTAATATATAGTAATAGTAGCCTCTGGTTATGACTAACGTAGCCATGGCTCAGCCATGGCCCGTTCCAGAAAAAAATATGGTGGAGTTTCCCAGCACGCAAAGTACCAAGCCACGTCCTTTTTCTCCAGTCCAATGGCAATTCTCTCCTGGCTCCATGGGAATAGGAATATGACCTCGTGGGCCATCCTAGATAGCGAAGTTGTGGTTTATTTGCCTAGGTTTATAATAACCTATGGTTTATCATTAGATAAAATAGCCAGGGGAAACTTGAACTATAGGTATTTGGTTATAATAACCATTTACTAGGTTTATGCCTTGGTGTATAATAACTATACTAAATGGGATTTAAAACCAGCAAACATTACTAAATGGGATTTAAAACCAGCAAACATAACGGGGGGCACCACCTTACGGAAATGGATATGGGAATATAACCGTCCGCAATGACGGAGATGGGGAGAAATTTGACATGACGATGAGTCGGAGAGACCCTCCCAAGAATGCATGGCTTGATTCTTGGGTTCATGAAATATAACCCATAGGATCCATGGTGCTGCTATATATGGTAACATTTACCCCTATGCATATACCCCAAATGTTATACCATACATTTACCATTTGGATACCATATACCATACATGTTCAATATACCCCAAATGTTAGCATATATACCAGCACCGTGGATCCGTCATGAAAAAAAGCCCAGCTTGTTCACCAACAAGCACGATCTAATCGTGATCCATTCCCAAAAAATATGTGCTTATCACTAAAATAGTGATGCACACATTCCCTAAGCCACTTTCAAATTGGGTGATCATAACCCTGGTATTCCCTATAAATCCAAAGTCTTGAGCATTCTCTTCCCATCCCTGAAACATCATCCCATTCCCATCCCCGTTTTGTATCCCATAAGTCCTATTTTGACCTATCCCATCCAGAAGTCACCCTTCCCATCGAAAACTCCCATGGATTTCCATCGTGCGAAAAAAAACATAACTTCCCATCAGAAATCCCGTGAAACCCCATGGATTTCCATCTTTCTACCCCAGCTTCCCCATTTTCTTCCCCATTCTCTTCCCATCTTCCCATGAGTTCTTTCTCACTAAATCATCCAATAAAATCCCATAGAATCCCAAAAAATCCCATAAACAAATCCCATGAAATCTCACTAACCCCCCATAAAATGTTCTATCCCGTTCTCTCCCCATCCCCATCTTCCCAGCCATCATGATTTCCCCATAAATCATCCCCATTAGAATCCCATAAAACCATCACAAACTTAGCTCTTCCCATCTTCCCTATTTGAAAAATCCATCAAGAATCACCATATCTAAAAATATATACATATATACACATATATATCCTACAGTAACCATCTCCCTTCCCACCCATCCCGATTTCCCCATTATCCGCTCCTTTTCCCATTATCCTTATCCCAATGATTCGTATATGGTTATTAATTTATCATTCTCACCATCACCAAAACATACCCCAAGTTTTATATCCCATCTTCGATAAAAACTACCATAAAGTTTCCATCAACAATCACCATACCTCATCCCATAGAGTATCCATCTTAGTATCCTATCTTCATCATCCTCACCATCACCATAACATAACCCAAGTTTTCTATCCGATGCCCATCTTCAATGGCCATGCTGGCCAGGAACCGAGAAAAATTGGAGGTACCGATTCCATAATATGTTTGGCCTATTTTTCAGGCCTATGTAATTAAGGGGATATCCCCACAACATATGGCCTTATATGGTACTAACGTACCTCCATCTGTTGGATCCTGAAGATCTCCCATTGACATCTTCCCCATCCCGTCTAGTCCAGCGCGTTGGCGATGTCGTCCGCATCGATCTCCGCCTTGTTCTGCCGGGCCGCCACAATGGCGCCCTCGTTCAGCAGATTCGCGAGGTCCGCGCCCGACATGCCTCGCCACGGTGCCGCAACGGGGCAACGGAAGGGCTTGGAATGGGTGAAACTCCAGGGAAATCATGGGGAAAAGTGGGAAACTTGATAGGAAAATCATGGACAAGTGGGAAAAATGATAGGAAAATCATGGGAATATGGTGGAAAAGTGAGATCATCACAGGAAAATTGGAAAACACTTGGAAAAAAACGAGGAAACATGATGAGAAAATGATGACAAGACCATATTTTTTAGAACAGATAGGACATCAATATGGAAACATAGAAAGTTCAATTGTGTATTTCGTAGATTCTTGGATGGTTTATGGGAAGAAGCAGTAACATCTACAGTATATACCAAAAAATGACCATTTCCAGGTCCTTCACAAGAAATCCGCCCTAAGGGCAGAAATCGTGCAAGCGGACAATTATTTGTGTCCTTTCGAAGATCCAGGTATTGGAATGATGGAAGCACATGAAATTTCACTTGTGAGGTGTGCCCTACGAGACGGAATTTCGATGTTTCAAGTGGGGCTGGGTTTGTCTGAAAATGTTGTACCCCAAATGGCAATGTTTCATCATTTTAAGAGGGACGGTGATAAGTAACCAATGGCTTGAGTTGTGAAATGCCTTCAGCCTACTTCTAAAGAATTTTAAACAAATAAAAAAAACGAAAACTAATCCAAAAAAAAGGCAAAACCCAATCCAAACCCCAATTAGAAAAAAACAAAAAAAATGCAAAAAAAAACCAACTCCAATCCAAACCTCAATTAGAAAAAAAAAAGCAAAACCAAAAGCAAAAAAAAACACACTATTTGTTTTCACTTTTTTTTCGCTTTTTTTTTGCTTTGTTTTTGTTTTTTTTTGCTTTGTTTTTGCTTCTTTTTCCGCCTTTGTTTTCGCATTTTTTTTTCGTTTTTTTTCTTTCTCAGGTGACCTGATGACCGGGACCTTCGAAAATGTAAGAAACTCGTGGAAAAAAGCGAAAAAAATGCGAAAAAAATGCGAAAAAAAAACGAAAAAAAAAGGGAAAAAAAACGAAAAAAAAACGAAAAAAAAGAGGAAAAAAAACGAAAACAGAGCGAAAAAAAAACGAAAAAAAAACGAAAAACAGTGAACACAAATAGTTTGCTTTTTTTTTTGCTTTTTTTTTGCTTTTGGTTTTGCTTTTTTTTTTTGCTTTTTTTTTGCTTTTTTCTAATTGAGGTTTGGATTGGAGTTTGTTTTTTTTGCATGTTTTTTACTTTTTTCTAATTGAGGTTTGGATTGGGTTTTGTTTTTTTTTGGATTGGTTTTCGCTTTTTTTAGTTCAATTTATTTTTCTATCGTTTTTTAGAAGTTGCCTGTAAGCCGTGTCACAAGGCTTGAGGGGTACCGGATTTTCACACAACGCCATATACCTTCTGGTAATCACACATAGCAATATATATATATACGTATATATTTATGTATACATATATATGCTGTTCCTATTACATAGAACCTCTATTTAAATGTTGATTTTCCATTGCCATATTTGATGACGCCGGAAGGTAAATACCCAAGTTGGGTACATCCATTATATTCGCATGATATTCCCATTGTATAATAGAATTATACTCTGGTGATTTAACATAGCCATGGAAAATGGCCTAGTTATAGATGATTTTCCCAGCTAGAAACCTCCATTTATGGTTGGGATTTTCCATGGCTATGTTAGTCATAACCAGAGTGTATACTCCATTGTATTAGAATTACCATCTCCATACTAACCATACACGGAATATACCCGTTGAGTTACAATCTCCATTGAGTTAACAATGGTTGGTGTTTCATTGCACTCATATTTTGTTGGTTACAATCTCCATTTCCTACTAACCATTCTACTTGTACTACCAGAATAAGCTTAAATTTCCTTATGGTTAAATGATGTTAAATTATGGTTAAATTTCCTACTAACCATACGAAAACCAATACCCATCCGTTGGTTTCATCCTTGGTCCTGGATTCCGGCCACTTCGACCTGAAAACCCGTTGGCCTCTGGTAATTTCTTAGGAAGTGTGACTGGGGTATGATTTGCGGGGTTAGCCATACCTTCTCAGGAGCTGTTTGGATCCATAGGGCCTAGGGATTGAAAATGGCCATTTAGTGCGTTGATTTACCACACTTCAGAAAGGTGATATTCCAGTTCGCTATAGTGTACCATTATCCCAAATTATGGCTAACTAGATTACAATAATGGGATCATGATCTTAGATAAGAGTTATGTTACTCATGTTTGATTTACACCATGAGGAGATTAAAACTCCTATCAATAATATATTCAATAATACCCATAATGATTGGATAATCGTTATAATCATTATATAACGGTATAATATAATCGTATATAATCAGTATCGTCAAAAATGACATATAGATATATATATATATTAAATGGGATTATCATCGGGATCATAATTTTATAGGTGACAGTTATATTCATCACCATTATAATCGATTATAATTAGATTTACCCTCTGGGGTCTGGGATAATGATTATTCCCATCATTATTCCCATCATAATCCCATTCTAACAAATTATAAGTGTTATCTACCATTATGATCCCATTATTGCAATCTAGTCAGAATCCCATCATAATTAGATCATTAGAATCTAGTTAGAGAATTCGAATGGGATGATGGGATTCGAATGGGAGAATTCACATGGAATTAGAACCTAATCTAGAATTATAATGAGTAATTATCTGTTATCTATAAATAACTCATTATCATATTTAATCTAATCCGGTAATCTATAATAAAAAACAATACCATCATTAGCCGGTTATATCTAGTTATATTAATTGAGAATCCGCTTATAATGATCTTATAACAGTGAATGAGAATTATAATCACCATCCCATCACTGTTATCCAGAAATAATCAAATATAATTCACTGTTTTATATGGTGATCATATAACTTCATAAATGACCATATATAATCACCATCCCATCATCCCATCATCCCATCATCCCATGCTTCGCCGCTCCAAAAAAAAACGTTCCGTGCGGCGACAAAAGACCTGGAGTCTGTCGCGCAATGGCCGACAAGTCTACCCCCGGAGCCAAGTTCTTGTCCTCGCCGCAACGGACAAAAATTGGATGAGCGAACCGGGATGGGAAAACACCAAAAGGTAACACCATAATGGAAACATATGGAACAGAAAAAGATGGAAATGAGGGGAAACTATGAAGATAATTTCCATAAGAATGGAAACATATGGCAAACTGGCCATTTATGGATGATTTACCTCTTAAAAATGGTGATTTTCGGATTTAAAACATATATAGATAAAAGAATGGGAAACTATGGAACATAGATGGCAAAATTCAATGGACATATTAATGATAATATATCGGAAATATATGGAAATATATACCACTTGTGATGGAAATAGAGCAGTATGTAGTGATTAAAAAAAAAACAAGTGCCAATATAATAACATGCAACCAACATTAACCAACTGTATTAACTATGTATATCTATCTATATCTGATATATCCTAGCGGTCCTAGCGCCAGATCAATGTGGGCTTTTCCTCTGGCATCCCAAAAGGGCACAACATGCGCCCATCTCGGGTGAAAACCCAACATGATACCTGTCAAACTATGACTAGGAGATCGCGGTCCCAATCCGCCCTTAAAAGATGCAGTGCAAATCGACTGGATCGTCTGCTGTTTTGGGAAAGGATTGGATGAAAAACGTGTCCTTTTGGGGCAAAATGTCCCGACCCTCTGGTAAACATACATAAAGCTATTGAAAATGGCCATGCAAAAGGTGGATTTTCCCATTACAAATGGTGATTTTCCATAGTTATGTTAGTTTACCAGAGGGTACCTCTTGTGACTCTTGTGGCTACCAGTACCCAGGCGGTAAATGGCATCGTTTGGCAAGATCCCCTGCTAAATTATTTTGAGTTTAGTGGTTTATGTGGGTTTAACTCCCAAAAACACGGCAAGAATCTACAGTAGTTGAGTATGTAGCAATCTAATCCATCCAGGTATCACCATTTCTAAATCAACAAATCAATCCATCTGGGAATGAAAGAAATGATTGGCCGGGCCGCCTCAAGTACGAAAAACATGCACTCGACCTAAGTGGTGGATATCTCAGTTGTATTTCCTTTTAAGCAGATCAGGGTATTTCAATGAAGGACTAAATGGATATCAATGAGGGATTTGTCGCTTCCATCTTGCATTTTCCTAAAGTCAATCCTAAATTTTTGATGCCACTTACATTCCCTCAGCTAATCTGAGATTATCCCATGTTATACCATGGGATATACATATAATTCCGGCCAAAAAGTGCTAAACATTTGACATACATATCAATTCCCATAAGTAGAAATTCCATGAAATTCCCATATAATATACACATATCACATATATCACTGGTTGGTGGTTTTAACCATCTTGAAAAATATGAAAGTCAATGGGAAGGATTATCCCATATATGAAATGGAACATAAAAGTCATGTTTGAAACCACCAACCAGAAAATAATCAATAGAAATTCCATGAAAATCCCATATATAATATACTATCATATCACATATATAATAGATATAAGAAGAACATAAATACTATAATATCCCATTAAATTCCCATTAATAATATACATATATATATATATATCTATAATAAAAAATAGGTGATCTTCTGCCGGATTTCGATCATCCCATACCATGAACGGGATCCCTTGCCGTTGCCACCACTCCTTGGCGTGAACCTTCAGAATCGCTGTTCGTCCCTGAACATCTGGTGGATCCACCTGGCAGTGGAAAAAAGTGGAAAAAAACAACGAAATCCCAACAGTTTCTATGGGTGAAACATGGTGAAACTGCTGATTTCGATGGGTGAAAAAAATGTGATGTTTTTTTCGGTTTTCGGAAAGCTTGCTGATTTTTAGAGCCCCTTTCCAACAAGAATGACCTGTAGATTCCCTTCATGGTGCATTCTATAGTAGAGGAATAAAGAAAAGACCCTCAGCAAGTCCAGGTTTTGGTCAAAACGATTCAATCTTGTTGGGTAAAATTCCCTAGATGTTGTGTTGGTTCAATCTGTGTTTGGTTTGGTTCCATACAGTCTCCTGGCTTTGAAGCAACGTTGAATCTACCACTTACCTAGTGCCTCATGCGTCAGTCTTTAGCTGATATACCTTGATATAACCCTGTTTCACTGGAAATTCACCATGAAAACAAAACTCGATACCCTCTGGTAAATTAACAGATTGACCCTGGCAGTTGTTGGGATTGGAAGATTAGTGAAACCATTAAAACTAGGCTATGGATTCAGGGTCAACAAGTTAATTTACCAGAGGATAATATCAGTCCCATAAATCATGTCATACGGAAAACATCATTCGACCCTTCCCTCTTTCAGACCCCTAAAAAAATCCCATAACATCCCGAAAAAACAAAACCAAAACAATGTGCAACATATCGCCAACATTCGCAACAGCAAATCTTCCTATATTGATTCCATTGATATCCTTATAATTTCTTAATATTCCTTGTATATATTCAAGGATATCAATGGGTAATTAAAGGGCTGGAATATCCTTATAATTAAAGGATATCCTTATATATTCCCATTTCAAGGGTTGGATATGTTCCATTTCCCCATCCTCAAAACCCCCCCATCCCCGGGTCTCCACCTGGATCTGTCGATCGAAGCGTCCAGGACGTACCAGGGCCTGGTCCAAGATGTCTGCGCGGTTCGTGGCGGCGATGACCACCACGCCCTCCGTCGCAAGGCGCGCTTCAGGCGCGGTGTCGTGGGGTGTTACGTCTTTGACCGGAACAGTAAGGGTAGGTGGTTGGAATGGAAAGTTGAGGGGATGATTTTTGCAGCGAAACTGGTGATGTCATGGAAAATCATAGGATTTTGTTCGGTGATTTGTGTTGGCTAAATTGATTGTTTCATGGCTATTTTAATGGCTATTTAAAAGGGAACTCAGGAGGAGATACAATGAATATTGGTGATACTTACTTTCTTGCTAATATATAGCTATTCAGAGGGAATTATGTGGATAATATTTGGGAATACACACAAGAAGGTGGTGCCCCAGTTCATTAGCAACCTTGGTTTAAAACTTGGTTAAATATCCATAATATTTTATGGAAAATATGTGGAGATATCTCGAACTAGTTACCCTCTAGTAATCAATCGTGGCTTGCTGGAAAATTCACCATTTAGCTCGCTGATTTTCCCACCTATAAACCTCTATTTAGTTCGGAAATTTCCCAACCAGCCACGTTTGATGACCAGAGGGTAAATACCCAAGTTGGTTAAGTCCTTTATATTCCCATTATATGTCCATGATATTCCCATTATATACTTGATTCATACCATAGAATCTGGTTGGTTCATAGGTGTGAACACCGGGGTGAACATCACCTTAAAGGTGTGAAGTCACGAATTCAATTCCTCATGGCAGTTCAAGTCGCGATGAAACATGTTTCTGTTGGGATATTTTTGATGAGATATTTACACCGCGAGTTTGTGGTTATTTTGCATCCAGTCTGTTTCATGGATAGAATTTGGTGAATGTACCATGCTGGTGTTTCATAATTGTATTGTCTATATTCTATATCTGTGTTAGTCTGTGTTTGTATTAAGGGATGTCTCTGATTAACAATTGGTTGGGTCCAGATACAATATGATACAATTCAATCCCAATGATATAGTGTAAAGAATCATGGCCCCTATGTTTATGATTAGGTTATTAGATGTTATTAGTATTGAATCAGAATTCCGTTTCAATGGGAATTTCAGGATCCTAAAATGGAGGTACCGATTCCATATATAAGGCCTATTTTTCAGGCCTATGTAAGGGGATATACCCCCAAAATACGGCCTTATATAGTACAGTACCTCCATTTTAGGATCCTGGAATTCCCATTGACCGTTGATGTAATCACGTTTCTTGGTATTAGTAAAAGCATAGCTACCGCCAAAAAGGTCGAAGTTCGGCCAATCCCACTTCAATAACTAGTGACTATTCATCACTTGTTGTTTTTTTTTGGGGTACTATAAGCAGATACCCTCTGGTTATTTAACATAGCTATGAAAAAAAATGCTCATGATGATTTATGATGACTTGCCATTTAAGAATGGTGATTTTCCATAAACAGACCAGAGGATAAAATGGTCATTAGCCAAACAAAAAAACATGGGGATGATTGGGGACTCTTGGGCCATACTAAACTATACAACTATACCCACATAGCTTTTCCTGTGGGGTTCCCCCCAGAATTTCGAGGCTTCAAAAACCCCACCAGCCGCGATCAACGGTGGCGCCTTGTTGCCTTCAAAGCCGTCCATCTCGGTGAGGAGCTGATTCACGGTCTGCTCGCGCTCATCGTTGCCTACACGGAGAGAAGCGCAATGGGTTGCCGTCCGGATGTTGTAACCATTTGGAAAAGTTAGATATTATATGTATATAGAGAGAGATACTAGGCATATTGGAAAAACTATAATTATAGTAGAACTAGGCTTATTATGTGTTATTCACCAGTTACGATTGGGATGATCCTCCAAGTGGTTTATGGGTCGGAACATGCTCTACTGATGGCTGCTTGATAAAACATCTGTGTTATCAATGGGAGATCTTCAGGATCCTAAAATGGAGGTACTGTACCATATAAGACCATGTTTTATGGGGATATTCACTTACATAGGCCTGAAAAATAGGCCATTGATGTTAGTTTGGAGGAGGGTGTTAGAAAAATCTATGGTGGCGCCATGGCCCAGCTATAGGTTGATAAAAACAGAGCTTAAAAAACTGCTGTTCCAGGTCCAAAAACTATTGAATTGCTGGATAGTAAATGATGGATTGATAAATGTATCACAACTTTTCATTGAAGATGGCAATTCTCAAGACCTCGAAGGCCCCCCGATTGCACGAGTTGGTCGAAATTGGAAGTTCCGGAGCAGTTTGGGTGGTATGAAATCATCAGAAATGCCAAGGATTGAAAAAAAAAGAGGGGAATCCCAGGGGTTGGTAACTGTCACATTTTGGGTATATTGGACATCACCTTATAGTAGCCATGGCATTGACCATATACCGATCATGGTTGGGTGATGTGACCCATGGGGACATTTAATGACCCATGAATCCCATCGTCACAAGATTTCCAGGGGCTGTTAGGGGGTTGTCTTAGTTCTGTTCGTAATTTCACAAGGAAAAGTTATGACGAGAAGCCATGGAATAGAATCGGATCCCAAACTCTGACACCGATATGATGCCATATTGAACATGGATACCCATAATGGTTGACAAAACAAAAGACCACTAAAGGATAAATCAAGTAGTATACACTATAAATATTGGGTCTTCAAAAACCCTCCACCATCTCAACAATTTCAGTACAGTCACCGACAGAATTATGGAAAAAAAACGTTTCAATTTACAGGCGCCGCCTGTCTATGATAGAAAAGTTACGAACCTTTTTTTTTTCCCTAATTATGTTTTCCATAATTATTTTTTTTTCCATAATTCTGTCGGTGACTGTATGTCCATCGATTCGCAATTTGAATGCATTTTAAGGGGGAATATTGAATTATAGAAAATATGTGTCTAAAGATCTGGTATATGCCCCTAAGTCTTCCATTGATATACATAATATCATGTGATGTTCGCAATTTGAATGCATTTTAAGGGGGAATATTGAATTATAGAAAATATGTGTCTAAAGATCTGGTATATGCCCCTAAGTCTTCCATTGATATACATAATATCATGTGATGTTCGCAATTTGAATGCATTTTAAGGGGGAATATTGAATTATAGAAAATATGTGTCTAAAGATCTGGTATATGCCCCTAAAGGAAAAACAATTGCACCACCAAAACTCATTGTTGTACGTACATACATATGCGGGATGTATCCTTTTGCCAAGCCACCAACTGGGTTGATACTACATACTTGCATTTGCATACATATTTCCATAACCCCCAAAAAAAGGGGTTTGAATTGTGGATCCATGACATGTCCAACAGGTGGAGCCCCAAACATTAATTATGGAAAAAATAATTATGGAAAAAATAATTATGGAAAAAAAAATTATGGAAAAACCGGTCAATCTGCCCTAGCCCCCTGATTTTACAGGAAAAATCAATTATGGAAATAATGGCCACCTCCAAGAATTATGGAAAAAAAAAAGGTTCGGATCACTTCCGGGATATTTTGAACCCTTATGGGGAAAAACCTAATTATGGAAAAATCGGACGCAGGCGCCGCCTGTCTAAGTTGAACGTTTTTTTTTTCCATAATTCTGTCGGTGACCATATTAGTTTTGGGAAAGGCATGGGTATTTCAAAGAAAGAAGAGGCATGATCTTGGTGATTCAGAACCTATTGTAACAGGCTAATCATTCAAGATTGGTTTTGGAGCCCCACATGGACTCTGCCCGCACGAAATGTCACACCAATTGTAATTTGTGGTATATACAGATATCTATTTACCACAATGATTGGGTATTTAAAATTAATAGGAGCCGGTGCCCCTTAGTTCTAAGTTGGTTTTTGAGCCCCCATTAAGTAGTTTGATATATCTATCATATACCCGAAAGATATGGTTACAGACCAACTTAGCTAACGAACTAGCACCATTTTGTGGTGTGTATATATAAATACTCATCAAAAGATATTGGCTATATTATATCATATACACCAGTGTAAACCTTTGGGGCTACCATTATCATTGGCAAAAAACAACATTGGATATCATTGCCAATCTTAGATACCCTGCAAAAAATGAAATTCTTTGCTGGTGAGCGCAGATAGTCCCATACCAAAAGACTATTTTGGATTAATTTCTACCCATCTAAGATTGACCTAGTACATATAACAATGGGTTTATTAATACCCCCAATGGGAACCCAAATCCCAATGGGAAAACTCCAGTTTCACTATGGTTTATAGGGGATATATATATACCTAGTAATGGTTTTTCTATGGTTTTTCTATGTTTCACCGTGTTTCTATGTTATGTCCAACCTTTAAAACTCGGCGCCTTGTCCGAAGCCAGCGCTACGTTGACGACCCACGGCATCGATCTCATCGATGAAGATGATGCAAGGAGCGTTCCTGGGTGAGCGGAAACGGGATTTGGCGCAGGTTCAGAACTGGTGCCGTGGTCACCAATGGTAGATAGATGGGGAAAATGGTGATTTTTACCCTTGAAAAATGGACATTTAACCATTCAAAAGGATTCAAAATGGGTATTTAACATGATTTACCCTCTGGTAAACGTTTAGATAACGAACTGGAAAGAACCACCATTTTTCATGGGAAGACTCACTATTTCGACTGGGCCATGGCTTCAATAGCGAACTGTTAGTCATTACCAGAGGGTAGATGGGTCAAAACCCTGGTACCCTACCCTGAAATCGCTGGTTTAATGGATATGTATACCCCCGTCATATGGTAATGATAGGTTTTGACCCATCCTCATATCTCTACTTGGTGGCGACTTACCCAGTTAGGAAGATGGTTCTACCCGGGAATCGGTAGTAGGTCAGAACCACAGTCATTGGTTGAATGGGGTACCCGACCCGTACCCTGGTTCTCCCCAAATGAAGCCTGGTAACTATATGTTTTGACCCATCCCCATGGTAGCCTTAGACTTATGATGGATTTATCAACCAACAAGACAGAACAAACGGGGGAAAACGCTGTAGCCTTCCAGTGTCCTTTGACAATCTGCCAATGGTGGATATAGGGAAAAAGACATGACTAAAGCTGACCCTCCCAATCATGTTTGGGTTTATTATTTGGCTTCATCACTTCATCAAAAAAGTGTTGATCTTAATCAACAACAAGCACTAAAAATCAAATCCCACAGATGGTGTCCCCCTTCAGATATGGCTGTTGGTTTATAAACCCCATGAAGTATAGATATATCTTCTATAAACCAATACAAAGTAATATAAAACCATACTTATATCATACTTATTAGCTTGTTGATAAACCAATATAAACCAATATAAACCATACATTTCATGGATTTTTCCTTCACCAAGTCACTTCTTGGCTTGTTCAAAGAGGTCGCGCACGCGTGAGGCGCCGATGCCCGCGAAGATCTCCACGAATTCGGAGGCCGAGATGCTGAAGAAAGGGACACCGGCCTCCGAAAAGGTCAGAACAAGAGGCTTTATGATTGGATTCTTTAGGGTACATTTACAGGAATTATTTATAGTGAAAATAGCTATTATATAGATTATGGTACATTTTCAGAATATGATATTATGGTCATTAGTGAAAATATATATCTGGTTGGTGGTTTATATATAATGATATTAGTTAAACAGTTAAACACATATATATATATGTATATATTTGGGATGGCTAATATATACCCTCTGGTAATTTGTTGCATAGCTATTGAAAATTGCCATAATATCATGGTTTTCGCTATGGTAGATACATCTCATTAGATTATATATACTATCATTTGATACCATCAATAGATTATATCATCCATCAATTATATATATCTGGTTGGTGGTTTTAACAATCTTAGTTGGTTTCCCACTGGTTAAATATATGGTGAATTGAAAATGGCCATTTAATTCGTGAATTTTACCATTAATAGTATGGTCATTAGTGAAAGTTGCTATTTATAGTGAATTTTCCCATTAAACATCTGAGAAAATATGATGAATGATTTTTGTTTTCCATAATATCTGGTTGGTGGTTTATATATAATGATATCAGTTAAGTATCCCACTCTTGGATGTTGAGTCTCTTCATGTTTACTGGCGATCATAGCTATTGAACATGGCCATTTATAGTGAGTTTTCCCATGAAAAATGGTGGATTTTTCCATAGTTTTTTGTCACCGTTTACCAGAGGGTATAATATATATATATTTATTTAACATACCCTCTGGTAATTTAACATAGCCATGGAAAATGGCCCATTTATAGATGATTTTCCTAGCTAGAAACCTCCATTTATAAGAGATTTTCCATGGCATTCCATGGCATTCCATGGCAATGTTAAATAACCAGAGGGTGTATACATATATATATACATATGACATAAAAAGTGTATATATATATATGTGCTAAATTCAACATCATATGGAGTACAATTAATTATATCTGGCTGGTGGTTTTAACAATCTTGAAAAATATTAGTCAATGGGAAGGATTATCCCATATATGATGGAAAATCAAAAAGTTCGAAACCACCAACCAGTATATATATATATATTTACATATGAGACAAATAAATCTATCTGAATCTATCAAACGATCAATCTATCTATCTCTGAATATATCTATCTATCGATCGATCTATCTATCGATCTACCTATCTATTTATCTGTATCCATTGATATATAGATAGTCATGTAAAAATAGTGATTAGATCATATATAGATATTGATGTATATATATATATATATAATCATCATCATTATACTATTAGTGGAATAGTCAATGTATCATTCACATTGAAAAAATATTATACATATACACTATTCGATACACAGCTAATATGTTCACATGTTTGAAATGCTGAATATGGGTGTCACACCTAAAACAGCTGAGATCAATGGATGCTGCGCACAATGTCCACCCATTCCCATGTTGTCGTCCTATCTTTTACCATGGTGAAATAACTGACCCTCATAGGTTAGGATATAATCCACACAATTATCGCTATGTACATATATATATATATACATGAATATATATATATATATTTACATATATATATATATGTAAATGTATATATATATATTATATTATATATATATATATATATTATACTATATTACTTATATATATATTATATATATATATGTGTATAGAGACACCACATATATATCCTAAACTATCATTGGGATTCAACCAGCCCCCAAAAACACGTACTTCCCCAAAAAAGTTGACGGTTTCGATTCGCCCAAAAAGTACTGGGAGGGCCATAACTTGTCTCATCTTTGGGGGGGCCATATCCCAAAGGTAACCTATTTGTAATGAAATTCCTGAAGCCACTATATACATATTCATGGTCCTCCAATTGAACTATTAATATCTATTAATATGTTCTTCTTTTTTTTTAGATGTGGGATTTTTGATTGGTATAACTCCACTTGAATCATGATATATGACTGGTAATTACTATATTCGTTAAATTATATAGTCCCAAAAACATATATATTTGGGATGGCTAATATACTACCCTCTGGTAATTTAACATAGCCATGGAAGCCATGGCCCATAGAAATAGATGATTTTCCCAGCTAGAAACCTCCATTTATGGTTGGGATTTTCCATGGCTATGTTAGACATAACCAGAGGGTACCACATATTACCACTATTCTTGTTGGATAAATCCATTATCCATGTAAAAATAACCAGGAATACCAGGAATAACCATTATTTTTTCGTGGCTATCCTTATAATGACCCCAGTGGTTATGGCTGACCCACAGATATTTTGGTGCTCATCCCGATGAGTGATCCGCGCCATCCGCGCCATCCGCGCCTCGCCAGCCACGGCCTTGGCCAAGAGGGTCTTTCCAGTACCTGGAGGGCCCACCAACCTCGGCGTCGGCGATGCTTTTTATGGGAAACAGTGGGGAAAAATGTTTTGGAACATGATGAAAATTGACATCAGCCATGGGTGAACCAAATGCTGGTGAGAGTTTCTTTATTTTTGATGTCTCTGATTTCGCACCAAAACAAATAGTGCCAATTTGACTAAAATGGTGATATAACTAGCCAACATCATGACTTAACCAACAAAAATAATGACCCCTTCAATAGAGAACCGTGTTTTTTCGCAACTGACCAAACGACGAAACGGAGGCCCTGGGGCCCTTTTTTCGGTGAATCAGGAACCAAGATGCTGATGTAAAGTCCATATCCATTGGATGCAAAACAACACCCTTTGAGAGTGGTCAAAAAATATTGACATATTGATCATCATATCATTAATGGAATAACCATATTAATACTGTATATCATTAATAATAATGAAATAACCACTATTCAAAATATGGACTCTTTTTGGACATATTCATATAAAATTTCAATTTTCGTAAAAAAAAATATTCAAGTTTAGGAAAAAGAATCGGGACTTTAACAAGAAAAAAATGGATTTGAGAACTGAACCTAATTAAGGAACTGGAGTCTATTTTTACCAATCAAGAATGGACATGTTTGGACATTTCCCAAAATAGGGTGGAAATCTAAACTCATGGGCTTCAGTGCTAAAATGGACTATATAATTTAAAGGAGAATTTCAGTGTGTGTCCCGATTTTGTGAAATTCCCATTCAAGAATGGGAAGGAAAAACATTAAAAACATTGGGGTACAATTTGCATCACGCGTGCAACCTCTGCAACAACCTGGTAATGGCTGAGGAAACTATTTCCAACACCCTTCAATGAGGCCTTGCTTTATCGTGAGATACAAAACAAGGGTTTACTATGCAAAAATGCAGGATGAAACTTACACTACATGAAGGAACCCAGAAGTGGAATTGTCAACTATTTTGAATATTCAGACTGGACATGAAGGATGTTCACTATTGTTTCAAGGACAGGGAGTGATGTTTGGCCGCTTCCATATGCTTCTAGGATCAACGCCCGGAGATTTAAGGTCACCATACCGACAGGAGATTTTTTTCGGTCCCTCCACCTGCAAAGTTCGATGATTTAGGAATTCGATTTAGATTGTGTAGGATATGTAGGTTATTTAGGTTATAATGGAATATTGTCATAACCATGCTGACGATTTTCACAAAATCATAGATTTAGATTTTCGTGTGGAATTATTCCCTCAAGATTTGAGAATGTTGATGAGTTGTGTCCGATTCCAAGATGTTCCGACAAGCACCAAAAAGCAAAGAACATAAAATTATCAATGTTATTAGGATCTAACAAACACCTATTTTCTTGTTAGATCCTACAAAAATAGATAGGAAAGATGTCGATTGGGCTCCAACAAGAAAGTCCTTGACTGATAAGATCCCCCCCTTCATCCCGGGTCTCCCAGTCGCAACCCAGTCACAGAGCTCCCTTTGGAATCTTCGCACCTAGCTCGGAGTACCTCCACTTGTGAAACACACTGTGCTGACGTGTTGGTGGATGTTTCTATAAATTGCTATGGGGGTTTCCATAGTCATGGGGGTACCCCAATAGCTGGATGGTTTACAATGGAACATCACATTAACATGCACAATGATTTGGGGGTACCCCCATTTTAGGAAACCTCCATATGGAGATTGATCCATGGGATTTATGACAAAAAAGGCATGGTGATTTCAGTAGCTTGATTTCGTCCATCATTTCCGGTTTTATGGTTTTGTTCTAACTTACCAAAGATGGTTTTACATGATTTCAGTAAACCAACAGTAAATGATACCCTCTGGTAATTTAACATAGCTATGGAAAGATCCACCATTTTTAATGGGAAAATCCACTATTTCTATGGCCATTTTCAATAGCTTTTTCTTAACGCTTACCAGAGGGTACCTAAATCTGATTTAACCATGGTGAAATCACCATATCCTTTACTGAAAAACACATCGGAGGATGGAACCCAATCCTGCAAGGCTTGGGATGCTGCAAAAAACTGTGGAGTGATGATATTATAGTCCCCTCAGTTGTAAGTTTCTTGCGCTATAACTCCCATTATAAAGGTACAAATATATACAAATATATCTTATCTACCATAAACCACAGAATTCAACTAGAAAAATGTACCAACAACTTAGCTAACCATTGTATATCGATGTATATCCATTATCCCCATTCATATTCCGTTCATAGTCCATGAATCACCTCTACATTCCATTAAATCCACATTAAATCGCTTGAATCTCCAGTCACCCGCCAACTTGGCAAACTTTTTTTGGGGGGCACCACTAAGTATATAGCAATACCATCTGGTTATTTAACAGTTCGCCATGGAAAGATCCACCATTTTTAAGTTCGGTAAACCATCTATTTCGATTAGGGCCATCTATGACATGGCGAACTGTTAGTCATAACCATAGGGTAAATGAAAAAAAAAACACGGTGCCCAGGAGGATCCCGACACGACCTGGAGGTGTTCTTCAAGAAATCCACAACCTGCACGATCGCTGATCGCTGAGAAAGTTGGCTGATCGTGGTTGTGATAAAAAACAGCCATCAAATAAGGCGGCGCCCCCGTAAACGAAATCGCTAAGTTAGTGCCAATAACTCCAATAACTATATGGAATAATGGGCTAACTATGGGGATAGATCCATGCTCCATGGGCTCCATAAACCAGACATATGTGGGGGCACCACCTTGAAATTCCTTGAATCTATGGAGTTCAAATGGAGATGTTTTGTGGGATGATCTACAAGTCAACGAAGTTCCAATGAGTACAAGGCCTCAGCTATCAGCTATGTTTCTTGGTTTACAACACCCCAGTAACCAAGGTTATCATGAATAGTTAACCTGCATTAGTTTGAAACCAAATTAGCTGACGATGCGCACCACCTGGTAGTAGCCGAATAAACATATATATATATATATATATCAGTAAAAATGGGTTAATTATAACCCAGTTAGGAACCATATTCACTAGCTTCAGGGATCATCACAGCACTTCAAGCTACTCCAAAACATTTGGGCCTTCAAAGTACTATATACCTCTTAGTATGTGGTTCATAATAATCCATCTATCCTATACATTATATGTAGGATAGGTATATATATATAGATATATCGCATGACACCATCTATTTACTCATCATGACATATGTCAAAAAACTATATTGCCAATTCTCATGACCCTTGTAGACCTGGCAGACAGTCTAAAGTGATCTTCAAAATCCCCAAAACAGGACATTCCACCAACCCCTGTATCATAACCTCATCAGAATGAAGTTGTATGTGTATATCACATATATATATATTAGTCAATAATTAATCATATAATTATAATATATATATATATATATTTGTATAACCAATCATATTTATCTTCGTCCATGATGGCAGTTCGAGACTTGGAATTTTCCGCCTCCATGAGCTCCGTTTTGGCGCCGTCGCAGCCGGCCACGTCGGCGAACTTGGTCTTGGTGTCACCGTCTTTGATGATGCGCGCCTGGCCCGTTGTGGGGCTCCCAAAAAATATGGATCCGTTGTGATAGCCAGTAATGGCTATGGCCATGGGATGATTCATATAACTCCTGCAACTGACTAGTGACTAAGGTTATATATCAATATATATATATATATATACATACATATTTATATCACATAAATGGGGATGGTTGGCCAGTTACAATATGTTATAACCTGTTATAACCTGTTTTTTTTGCGGAACGGTCACTCTGGGGCACCTTGGACTTGCCCAGCTCGAAGGGGTTTCCACCAGGTCCACCAGGTCCCGCGGGGCCAAAAGGCCTGAGGAACTTCTGTCATGTTTCATCACTTCATCTGGAAAAACCGCTACAATAAATCAGCAAATATATATATATATCAAAATATCAGGTAGTTTATATATGTTTCTAGTTGTTTTCAATTATATATCTTATAGGTAAACATATGTTTTTAGTTGTTAAACAATAATGTATACACATATATATATCTTATAGGTAAACTCAGATCACGTCTGATACTTTGCATGATCGTTTTCACTGCTTCAATGATAGTATTAATAGGCTGTGCCTGAAAACCGTTAGTATAGCTCCAATTTACTGCCATCCATTGTAACAGGGATCATGTTGATGAATCAGCTGGCGAGGGTTTGGTTTGGTGTTTCCCTAACTTCACAATTTTCTGATGTTTCTGTTTGGTGGCTACTCTCTGGTAATGACTAACAGTTTGCGAACTTGAAAATGGCCATTTATAGTGAGTTTTCCCATTACAGTAAAAATGGTGATTTTCCATAGTTATGTTAGTTTACCAGACTGGGTATATCCCCAAACAAGAACACTGTCTGGTTGGTGGTTGAACCCTACCCCTCTGAAAAATATGAGTTCGCCAGTTGGGCTAAGCAAGAAATCCACGCGACGTGCCTAAGACGATGAGATGCAAGGAAACGAGAAAACCAGAAAACCAGAAAACCGAGAAAACCGAGAAAACCAGAAAACCGAGAAAACCAGAAAACCGAGAAAACCGAGAAAACCGAGAAAAGGAGAAAACCGAGAAATGCGGCCAATAGTGCTAGTCTCCTCGGCGTTTTCCTGTTCTCGCGGTTTTCGCGTTTTCGCGGTTTTTGCGTTTTCGCGGTTTTCGCGTTTTCGCGGCTTTCAATGCTCTCGCAGTTTTTGTGTTTTTTGCGTGTTTCGCGGTTTTCGTAGTTTTCGCGTTTCGCGGTTTTCGCAGTTTTCGCGGTTTTCGCGAGTTTCGCGTTTTCGCGGTTTTCACTGTTCTCGCAGGTTTCGCGATTTTCGTGGTTTTCGTGTTTCGCGGTTTTCGCAGTTTTCGCAGTTTTTGTTTTTTGGCTGCTTGCGCCGTTCTTGTTGTTTTCGCATTTCCGCCTTTGATATTTCCATGCCATATTATTTTCAAACAGAAATCTAAATAGAGAAGTGCCAGTTTCCTTGTCATAACAGCCATTTGCAGACTTGCAAGCACACACACACACTTACATTACATGTCTCTTACCTTTACATTTACAATCTATATATATATATAATTATATATATACACATAATATGCGTACTACACTTACATGTTCATGTACTTGCATTTTTGTGCACACACCACCCCCTCCATCTGCTCATACATCAACACATAGATACATAGATACAAAATGATACACAGATACAAAAGTGCATACATAGGCAGAAAGATAGATACAAAAACATATTTCGAACACATCACAGGACACTCCCATGCAATACAATACAAAGGAGTACAGCACAATACAACACAATACAAGACAGACAATACGCTACGCCACGTTACTTTACAACACAACACATACGGACAAACACGCAGTACATTATGTTAATTTCGTTTCCTGCCCTTACCTTAGATTACCTGCATTGCATTGCATCAAACTACATTCTACTACATTACATTGCACTACAGTATATTTCACTGCATTACAATCCATTGCGTTACACTACGCTGCATTGCAATGATGTAATTCCAAGGGTACTAACAGGAACGCACACATATAGGTACATACATAGAAATATGGATGTATACATAAATACACTGATTCTAGCATAGATGCATATGCACACATGTATGGCAAACATCCTTACACACACACACGCCAAAGATACCGAGATTCATAGACGCATAAATGCACAACATGCTATGATGTTACGCTGCATTTCATATACGTAGATCATGTGAGAATCGTACATACATCGGTACATGCATGTTTTCGTTGTGTTCACCGTCCGATTCATGGCAAGGCATTCCATAATGTTCACACATAGAGACATTCATAGATACATAGGGACATACATAGATACATAGAGACATATATAGAGATATACATAGAGACATACATAGAGACATACAAAGAGACATACATAGAGACATACATAGTTACATAGAGACATACATAGCTGTACACATACAAAGATACATACAAAGATGCATCCCACTTCGTTGTGCGGCATTACATTTTGTGTTACGTGACGCCACACGACACCGCAATGCTGGATTTCACATTATACACACTCATCCATGCATCCAAACACACTCACATATATGTTGCATTACATGCATAAATGTGTATGCCCGTAAATGAATGTACATCGTATATATATATATATATGTATTTTATATATATACATGTATATAAATGTATAATATATATATATGTAAAATATATATGTAATATATATATATGTAATATATATATGTATAATATAAATATATATGATATATGTATATATATATGATATACATATATATATATAACATATGTATATATATATATATGTAAACCATATATACATATAAATATATGTGTGTAATATGTATAAATATATATATATATTAGTATAATATAAATATATGTATAATAGATATATGTATAATATATATATATATATATATATATATGTATAATATATATATGTAAACCATATTTATATATGTAATATGTATATATATATATATGTATGTAAAATATAAATATTTGTATAATATATATTTATGTATACTATGTATAATTATGTAATATATATATGCAATATATTATATATTGGTTGAGTTGAAATTACAAGGCATTACATCACATGCATCATATTACAACGCGCTGCGCCAGCTACATAAATAGATACAAAGATCGATGCAAAGAGACACACATGCATGCATACATACGTCCGAAACATGCATGCACACGTGCCTGCAGGCATAAAGGCAGTCCGTTAAGTTTCATTATGTTGCCACTTTTCCTTTTGCTTGCATTGCAATGCACCACCTCAATAAATACATACAAACAAACAAAGATGCCAGCATAGATGAGAACATAAATGCAGACTACATAAATATGCATAAATATGTCCGTCGAATTTTGATTAAAACACGGATGCATAACAAGAACACTAAATACAGGTAGATTGGATGACAGAACATTAAAGGTTGGGAAGGATTAGACAAGCGATAGAGGAAATACAGATAAATAGATAGATAGATAGATAGATAGATAGATAGATGATAGATAGATAGATAGAGAGATAGATAGAGAGATAGAGAGGTACGTAGGTAGGTAGGCAGATAGATAAGGCGAAGATAGGTGATATACAGATGGACGGGCAGATAGATAGACGGCTTGGTAGATTGATCGATAGATAAACAGAGAGATGACGAGAAAGAGAGGGAGAGAGAGAGAGAGTGGGATAGATGCATGGATACACAGATACATAGATACATCAATACATAGATACGTAGCTTAGATACATAGCTTAGATACAAAGCTGAGATACATAGCTTAGATACATAGCTTAGGTACATAGCTGACATAGATAGATAGATAGATGGATGGATGGATGGATGGATGGATGGATGGATGGGTGGATGGATGGATGGATATGATAGATCGGATAGATTAGATAAAACAGATGGACTAGATAGATAGATTACAATAGATAGATAAATTAGATAGATTAGATAGATTGGATGGACGGACGGATGGATGGATGGATGGATGGATGGATACGTAGGTAGGTAGCTAGCTTGCTAGCTAGGTAGGTAGGTAGGGCTAGAATGAAATATAGATCTATAGATACCGTAAAAAACATTCACATCACATGAACCTGCATTCCACTACTCTGTACTTGAAGTCCCAGTGCAACACAGATCAACACCGCTATTGCAGCGCAATATAATTATTTTGCATTGACGTGCCGCTAGATCCGGAGATGATCATAGCTGTCCAACTTTCGCGCTCTTGTACTTCCGTGCGCGTTTTCGCGTTTTCGCGGTTTTCGCGCTTTTCGCGTTTTCGCGTTTTGCTGCCCGTTTTCGCGTTTTCGCGGTTTTCGCGTTTTCGCGTTTTGCTGCCCGTTTTCGCGTTTTCGCGTTTTCGCGCGAAAATGCCGCGCATCACCAAAGGCCGAGACACACACATTTCCTGCACAGCAGTTGGGATGATGACATTCCCAAATGTATGGAAAGTCATAAACAATATTCCAAACCACCAACCAGCTGTTTGTTGGTTGTACCTTGACGTTGGAGATATAAGTCACAGCAATCAGCTCGATACCAAAGATCCACCATTCGTGACGGCAATGAAGACGAAGATGATGAAGAGTATTTAATGGGATGATGGTTAATAATTAAAAATGATTAATAATGATTAATGATGGTTAATGATGATTATAATAATGGTTAATACTGGTTAATGATGATTAATGATGATTAATGAAATATCATTGGATATCATGAAATATCATCTCCATTAATGTCAACCCTGGATTAATAAACCCCGTTTACGGCTGTGACTATTTGGGGGGGTACCATTTATGTATCATATTGTGACTATTTGGAGGGTACCCCCAGAATTAATAAACCGCAGTTGATATTATTGCTGGGACTGGCCAAAGGCATTGGTAATATCACACCCTTCCCATATTGTCCCTCAAAATCACATGTCTTGCCGTTTAAATCACCATGTTTCCTGATGTTCTCACCATTTTCCCAAAATGTTTTCCCAGTTGTTTCACCATGTTTCCCACAAGTTTCCCTGGTTTTTCCCCTGTCTTCCGCCGTTCTTGGCGCCGGGTGCCCCGTTGCGGCGACACCGGCACCACCAAGGCACAAGCCGCCGAAGAGCAGCAGCAGCCCTGCGATCAGCCAGGCGATGGGCCCGGCGAAACGCGCCAGAAAGTCGAAGGGCGAGGCGCTAGAACCCGGGGACGACATGACGACGTCCACCTGGATCCAAGGGCTCAACTGATGGGATTTTTGCACAATTTTGAGGATTATGGGATTTAAATGGGATTTTTGGGGGATAATGAGATGAAGGCGTTGAAGGCAGTTGGATGGAAAATGTTTGGATGATCTTGGGGTGATTTAGGGTGATTTGTTGTGGAAATTTGATGGGATTTCATGGGAATTCTGAAGGGATTGATAGGTGATTGTCCTGTTGGCTGAGTTGGTTTATGGCTGTGACTCTGACGGGATTGTCCTTTTCTCACTGGATTGGCTTGAGGGAAAATCTTAACCGGAAACCATGGATTTTCCCATCAAATATAGGGCTTTCCTGTAAAATTTCCCATCATCCAATTCTATGATTTTCACTTTTGATAGTCAATAAAGCTACAGTATGACTTTCCAAAAACATGCAGGGATGGTGGAGGACTCAAACCCATCAACTGGACTATCATTGGGATTGAGGATGTTTGTTGGCATTATAATAGGATACACTGGGATACAGTGGGATTTACTGTAACCATCAACAATGGGGGTTGGGGTTAGATGGGGATGGGGTAATGGGGATGGGGATATTCCAATCATGCTGACCTCACTGGGTATCCTTTCATTGCGCCGATGGCCGATGGCCTTGTTATCCGCCAGCTGGTTAGATTATTGGTCATGATAATCATCTGGTTGGTGGTTTTAACCATCTTGAAAAATAATGGTGTTCGTCAATGGGAAGGATGACATCCCACATATGAAATGGAAAATCATCCAGTCATGTTTGAAACCACCAACCAGTCATAGATATCCCATGTTAACCCATTGTCCCCATGTGATGGTTGGTAAGTTTCCTAATATTTGATGCTTAAATCTACCATTGCGGTCACTTGTTGATGAAACCATTCACTTGATCCCCATTGAACATCATAGAATCATTACACTCCATTCAATCTACATGAACCCCCTTTATCAAACTCACCAATCATAGTCATTAAACCTTATCAAACCTTACCTAAACCTTATTATAGTAATTAGACCTTATCAAACCTTATCAAACCTTTTTAAACCTTCTTCAACCCGAAATTTTCATGGTACTGTGTACCCCTCAGCATTTCCCTCCAGGCTCTCGTGGCCTTCTTATCGGCCATGATCACCCATCATTATATAACCATATAATAACCATATAATAACCATATAATAACCATATGATAACCATATATTGGTGAATTCCACATATTCCCATCATTAACCATATAACAGCCATATATTAACCCTACCTTCAAGTTAACATAAATTAACCATATATCACCATTAAGGATCATTTCGCACGGTGATATATGGTTAATGATGTATATACCCTCTGGTAAGCTAACATAACTATGGAAAATCACCATTTTCAATGGGTAAATCCACTATACATAGCCATTTTCAATGGATATATTAACCATATATTGGCGAATTCCACCTATTAACCATCATTAACCATCCTTAACCATCCTCAACCATATGGTTTAGGCTTTTAGGGTTATTAACCACCTTTAACCACCATTAACCAGTATATTTAACCAGTGGGAAACTAACATAACTATGGAAAATCACCATTTTCAATGGGTAAATCCACTATAAATAGCCATTTTCAATAGCAAACTGTTTGTTTACCAAAGGGTAATCACTATTAATGACCATCTGGTTGGTGGTATACCAGTGGTAAATCCACTCTAAACCAACATTAACCACTGGGAAACGTAGCCTTCTTATCGGCCAGCTGATTGAAGAGCTGATCTTCGATCTGAGCGTTCGGGATGAGGTTCACCTCCCGTCGAGACCCGTCCTCCGGCGACTGAAGAAAGGGAGGTGCACGGGGTCCACGAGGTCCACACAAAGGGGGGCCCAGGTGATAGGAAAACCATAGGAAAACCATAGGAAAACCATAGGAAAAATGGTGATTTATAGGGAAAACCACAGGAAAACTATAGAAAACTGGCGACTTCACCAAGAAGAGGTTGGTCCTATGGTTTGTGGTAGATGTATGCAGCTAGATGAGAGAAACCAAACCCAACTTATAACTGGGGGAGGCACACATTGTAACTGGCAATATTTTCACAAGGATACCACAGTTAAGCGGGATATATATATATATATATTACATACCACTTTGGATATGCTAAATATGTTCAGGGCCTACTGCTCTACAACTGCGCTTGAAAGTGCAGTTCCAGTTACAAGTGGATATATAACCATAGTGATACGGGTTATATCCCAACCTGTGGGGGTTTATAACCATGATCATATCCATAAACGAAACCTCAATTGCACCCCCTAAGTGAACTTCTTTGGGGCTAAACAACAGTTTCACAAAGGCTTCTTCAGAAGCTCTCGCAGGCTCCCAAGAAGGGAGCCTAGACTGGGATACTCCGCACAGATTGGTGGAGATTGCCCCTCTGTATGGCTGGAAAATCCCTGTAAATGGGGAATTATCCATTGTCATGTTTTATTATCCGATGGTAAAGTGAAGGATTATCTCCCATAAAATGGCGATATCCCATCTTTTTCTCACCACTTGTCACCACATTGGCACCCCTCTCAATCTTCGCTGATTTTCCCTCGCGAACCATGGTGGGGTCTGCCAATGAGGTCGCCATACGTCACCCAGATCTAGTCAGAAATGGGATAAATATATGACAAGTTCTAAAAGTATCATGGAAGATCCCTCGTGTTTTTTGTCAGAAACTATACACTAGTATATACCCTCTGGTAAACGTTTACAGTTTGCTATTGAAAATGGCCATAGAAATAGTTGATTTACCCATTGAACATGGTGATTTTCCTTGTTTTTTTTTGTAAACGTTTACCAAAGGGTAGTTCTTCGACAATGAGAACCCCTAGCAATCCTCTAAATCCTCGAGACGCACCCACCTTTTTGGGCTATATTCCATGATATCCCAGGATAGTCGGATAAGACATAATTGGATCACACATTTTGTTTGAACAAAAATTGGTTTATTCCAGTCGCTTAAACTGAGATGTGCCAAACATTGCCAAACAAATGGACATGTTTCATAAAACGAATATATGGCCCAGTCGAAATAGTTGATTTACCCATTGAAAACATGGTGATGTTCTATATAAATCACCATTTTCCCATGGTTTTCCCATCATTTTCCCATAACAAATGGTGATTTTCCATCGTTTTTTTGTAAACCTAAATAGGGTATTAAAATGGATGATTTGGGGTACCCCTATTTCAGGAAACCTCCATATACCATTTTTGGGGGATTTATACATATAAATATACCATTTTTGGAGGGATATCAATTAAATCCCATGGAAATCTTGAAAAAATGCTGATCATATCACCATGTTTCATAGGGAAAATTCCAGATGTTGGGCATAAAAACCTCCCAAGAAATCTGCCGCTGGTCCTTGGTGGTGTACTGTGCCGACAGCATGTCCTCTTGCACACGAACCATCTCCACCTGGAAATTCCATGGGAAAATGCTGGCCGAATATGGCTGATCATGGTGACTTTGTGCAAAAAATGAGGGCTGATACCCTCTGGTAAACTAACAGTTTGCTATTGAAAATGGCCATTTATACAGTGGATTTACCGTGATTTACCCATTAAACATGGTGATTTTCCATAGCTCTTTGTATGTTTACCAGAGAGTAGAATTTCAGTTGTTCTGTTGTTTTTCTTGAGGGATAAGCCATTGACCATCCTTAGATGTTGCCAGAATCAACACTATAGTTGTTTTCGGGCACCTGGGTACATTGAGGGGTTGTAACATGTTGTTGCCCACCTGCGAACCATATACATCGTTCATTCTGGCAACATCTATAACCATAGCTTCCAGTTCCAAACAGACTGTCTGACCTATATCTTGCTCAATCTACCAGTACTTGGTGATACTGTGTATGGAAGAAATCCTGCACCAGTTAGTAGATGGTTTATCCCATTGTAATCCCATTATTTACAGTGTTTTATAGTTCCCAATAGTTACGAACTGGTGCAGGATTTCTTCCATCCACAGTATGTCCATGTTTGAAAAAATCGAAAATCGAAAAAAATCGAAAAAAACGAAAACACCGAAAAAAAACCATTTTTTTTGCAACCCAAAAATCGAAAAAAACACATGCCGTTGGTCACCGTTGGTCTTTCCAGCACGGGGAGTGTTGCCTCGCCCCTGTTGATGGAGTCGATGAAGTCCGAGTAGTTCACCACATCAGCGGCCTCCGCTGGTGCGAACAAACTACCAGGGGCAGGGGTAAACTGATCCTGGATCCATGTCTGGGAATATGTATATATATATACATAATATGTATATATAAATAAATATATATATATATATATGTTGAACAACTTGGTTCACAATGTGTATTGGCACAATGTAAACATATGTAAAACATGTTGTTTGAAACAAAAAACTTGACAGTTGAGTTCTACATATATATATGTATCATGTCAGGTGGAAACGGACAAGAAAAGAGGGAACAGTTTCCTTCGCATCCATCGTTGAAATAACTAAGCCATGCACAAGCCATAGCTGGTGTATAACTGGGCTAGATGATGGGTATTACAGGATGGGGAAAACCAGTTATTAGTGAACGTTGTTTTTTTTTCCATCGCAAAACCCCCATGATTTATAGTTTGTTATATCTACCATAAACATCCATAAACCATCCATGTAGATGTGATTAACCATCCATATAACCATAACAAATCCCCCATGATTTATAGTTCGTATTAGTTCGTTATATCTACCAAAAACCATAGTTTATTCAGCCACTTTTCTGTGCAACGGTTCACGCTATCGCGCGCTCGTGAAACCGGGGGCCCCATCCTGGGATGCGTCACAATTCCTGGGTTCCGTGGCCATGAAGGTATTGGATGTGTTTAAAACGGTCGACTTCTTAATGTGAATTTCAAAATATATTTCTAGAAGATAAAAACCTTATATGGTCTTCAAGAATCTTTTGAAGTTCAGGAAAATTATAAAGCTTTAGAGGAGTACGCCCCACTCGAATGTCCAGTCCACCTGTGCTGGCTGCAAGGTCACCACGTAACTTAACAGCAAGGCAGCTGCAGAACTGGCGGCCCAGCGCAATTGCTGATCAGCATTGCCTCCGCCAATGAAAATCATGGTCGCCATGGTCAATATATGTCAATGTTGCAAAAAAGACCATGGCGACCATGATTTTCTATCCCCACTTAACCAAAATGGTTAAAAAAAATGTGATATATGGGCATTGCACCACCATTTTCTATCCCCATTTCATATATGGATAATCCTCCAACCATATGGTGGTATGAAATATATCTAACCCTCTGGTAGCATCGAATCATTAGATGAATCCAGAAGAACAAAAATCACTGGGGGATCACGGCACGGATGGGTTTTGTGCCTATAGTAACCATAGTTATACAAAACACAGCATTTAAGGGGATTAGACTATAGTCCAGTGATGCTATGGTTAGTAAGTCCAGTTCCCTAAGTTATAGTTACATATAGTTACTCAGTGCTATAGTTATAGTATGGTTATACTAACCACATCATTTATGGTTACTAAGTTCCCAACTGTGGTTAGTAAGTCCAGTGATGATCCCCAAATGATCCAAGTGATGACGATCCCCCGGTTGTGACTTCTTCGTCAAAATGATATCTCAATTAAGTGGATAGCCTCTGGTAATTTACATAGCGGAATTCACCACTTTTCATAGGTAGATCATGTACATAATAGCTATGAATCATCTATACTTTCATATATGTATAGATTATGTAGATGATCTAATTGCTAGATAGATATAATGATCTATATGTTCTTGTCATAGGTAGATCATCTGTACATGTAATATATATATATATAATAGAAATCAGCCATTCTCGACGGCAAACTGTGAAAGTGGCGAGAACATATTCTCAGCAAACCAATGTCTGTTTCAGGGATATCCTCAAAAAACATCATCACCGCTACCTGAAATGGGTGGGCTCATACGTATGTATATATCCGTTGAGGGAAATGTCAAGATCTTGAAGCCATGTTTAAAACATGTATGTGTGTATATGAATATATGTAGAACAAGCACATATATAGGTTTCAGCATAGCATTCTTTTCCGTTGACGCGTGGCCGTTGGTTTTTCAGCTGTGGATGGTGAATCCTACCCACAGCTGCCACAACAACTTCTGTATAAATTGCCTTTGGCATTTCAAACTTCTGCTCCATGGTAGGAGTCTCTCTTTGATCCATGGCAGGATCTTTGAAATTTCAAACATTCCTCCATGGTAGGAGTTTTCTCATTCAAAAAACGCAAAAAGAACCCTTCTTGGGTGGGAGAGGTTTGGGCCCTACAAAGGCTATAAGCCGAAATACACGTCAAACATGCAAGCATCAACCTATGCCTCTAGCAGATGTCATAGGTTTCAGCATAGCATTCTTTTCCGTTGACGCGTGGCCGTTGGTTTTTCAGCTGTGGATGGTGAATCCTACCCACAGCTGCCACAACAACTTCTGTATAAATTGCCTTTGGCATTTCAAACTTCTGCTCCATGGTAGGAGTCTCTCTTTGATCCATGGCAGGATCTTTGAAATTTCAAACATTCCTCCATGGTAGGAGTTTTCTCATTCAAAAAACGCAAAAAGAACCCTTCTTACCACGGCCCCAACTCTCGACCAGCCATCAGAGCTGGTTGACCGGGCTCCAAATTTGCAACATCTTCTGGGCCTTTTCGCTGAAGGTCAAGGACGGCAGGTGAGATAGGCCGTCGGCCAAGTATATTTTGGCCACTCGGAAGTTACATTGGTGGCATTTGGCCCCCAATTGGTGGCATTCAGTTCTGTCAAACCAAACATCCGTGGTTGCAGAAAACTCTTGAGAGCATTCCCACCCAGCCCACCTAGTCCACCCTTCAGACTTTGAGGAAGCAATGCACCAACATGTTTTCCACCCATGGTGTGCCCAGCAGGTGAAGGTGAATGCAAAGCATTGCTTGCAAAGAAAAGTAAGTTACAACTATGATGCCATGCAAGCAAGACAACGCATTGCGCGCCAAAACAAAAAAAGAGGTCACGCCAGCATTCCAACATTGTATATAAGAAAGACTAAGGTAGCTTTCTACATGTAAAATTTGTTTTGAGGAACCAGGACTCCATATTTTCATGTTCCCAATATAATCACATATTCATGTTCCCTTATCCACCTGGGGTAAATATCATGTATTGCATCAACCGGCCACTCGCTTCAGGTTGCTGTTTTTTTTTGGGGGTGAGGCAACACAACAGCCAGAAAATCATTGCAGCTTGCTGGGGGCCCTGGTGCTGAATCTGGTTTCATTGGCACAGCCATGCAAAAAACAAGTTTCTTTTTAAAAAACTGATGGGTGAAGACCGAATTTTGTTACCGAAGAATGGGTTACCTGAATTTGGCATTGGTATGAAAATCCTCTTGCACCTGCCCAAAAATGGCATGTCTCAGCAACTTTCGACGCCACAAGATCACAGTGTGATTTTGAGATGATGACTAGGTGCACAGATTTGCATGCCTGCACAAGTATTGGTATTGTATCATGTGCAGATAATGTCCATGCAAACATACAAGGATCTTGATAATTATTATGGATGGATTTCTCGACTAAAAAAGGTGAGATAACATAAGCCAATTACACTCCATCAAGCTAGATGATCCTCAGGTTCCTCTACCTGCCAGCTTCGGAATGACGAGCAGGACGTTGTCCAGCCAAACACATTTTTTTACAGGTGAAATCTTTTGACCAGAACAGTTCAAGGGTCCATTTCCCAGTTTTTGGGGACGCAGGATATCCAACCACATCTGAACTACATCAACAGCGCTGCGAGGCCAGGCAGTGAAAAAAAACCACATCCAAGTAGATCACCATGACAATGCTCACACCCCAAAACAGTTTTTATTGTTTGTGATGTCTGTGAATTTCGGGGCTTCACGCCAAGATCCAGAACTACCAGTGATCTCAGTTTTGCCTGCAGGCCTGGCAATGATGATCAGCCACACACTCAAATCAGCTCAGGGGATGCGCTGCCAAATTTTCTGCGCAAATTCAGGTGCAAATTTGTCACAGCAAAAACTATATGCATCTGTGTTTCAGAGTTTTTTGTCCAAGACCAAACATAGTGAAGATAGGAGGGGTGTGCCATGGACTTGGCTGCTCTGATGAACAAGAAACCCGTGAAAGCTGTGAAAAAAACAGTCGAGAAGAAACCAAAAGCTCTGAGAAAACCTGCGTCTGCAGCTTTGAAAAGACCAGCTGCTCTGCCAAAGTCGGAGCCCAAGCCTGCTGCAGCTTTGGCTCATGGTAGCGATGACATAGCGAACCTCACTCGCATTAGCCCATGCAAAGGTGAACATTTCATGGCGTGTTTCTTCTAGGTGTTGATTTTTGCACCCAATCTTTCTCGAAAAGAATATGATTCAAATGGCACATTTTTTCCACTAAATTTTGTTTGGGTTGAACCTTTTTTGGGGGCCAGCCCACAGTCCACAGGGACATTTACGTCTCTTTTGGCCTCAGGATTGAGAAGCTCGGTGCCTACCCCTTGCCTAAAACCACAGAGGAGCTGTCGTTTCTAGGCAGCTAATTTTCTCAACTTCCTCTTGCTTAAACAAGTTGAACTATGACATAGTTCGCTCAGGCTTTGGGCCTTCACGCTGCTGCAGCGCTCAGCCCTGGTCTTTGGTTTGGATTTCGTGAAGACCAGACTGTGTGCACAATCTGCAAACTAGGGGATACTAGGGGGATGTCAGGAGAATTTAACAACAACATCACATTGAGTTACATGATATGGAAACAACAGGGGTGAGAAACAGTAATGTAATATATTGATCCATCAATGTCTTTTTTAAGTCTGCTGAGCTTCCCAGCTCCCCACCTAGCTAAAGGGTAGAAGCGCGCCACACCTGATAAATTGCTCGTCAAATAAAAGGTTTTTCACCAAATTTTCATCACATCAAATCCCACCTAATCTCACCCAATCTCGTCTCATCATCTAATCCCGCCCAATGACCAATTACCAAAACATATATAGATAGATAGATAGATAGATAGATAGATAGATAGATAGATAGATAGATAGATAGATAGATAGATAGATAGATAGATAGATAGATAGATAGATAGATAGATAGATACTTACATACACATAATTATATGTATTCATGTACATACCTATATCATATATATCTAAATGTATCTCCATACATACATATACATATACATATACATATACATATACATATACATATACATATACATATACATACATACATACATACATACATACGTACGTATGTACGTACATTACATACGTACATACATGCATGCATGCATGCATTACATTACATTGCATTACATTACATTGCATTACATTACATTACATTACATTTACATGTACATTCACATTTATATTCACATTTACATGTATATTACATTACATTACATTACATTACATTACATGCATACATGCATACATGCATACATGCAGACATGCAGACATGCATACATGCATACATGCATACATGCATACATGCATACATGCATACATGCATACATACATACACGCACGCATGCATGCATGCATGCATGCATACATACATACATACATACAACATACATAATATCCAACCCTTGGATCCTGAGGTACCCAGAAAATTCGAGCATACGATCTCTTTGGAGGTGCGCTGTGTGCCAGGCGCTCTTGGGAAATGATCCAAGCTGCTGCCTTGGAGCTCTGGGGCATTACACCACAGATGCAATTCACGTTCAATGTGGCTCCATCGCGTTACCACTTGGAATGGACTACCATGGGTACAATGCAGTTGATTTTTATTTGTAGAAAAACAGGACACTGAAACTGGCTCTTCTTTGCTTAGGTGGAAAAGAGCTGGTCATGCATCAAGATGGCCAAGGAGTATCCCACATGCATCTTCCCGGATATCTTGGACCTGGTTTCCGACCCCCCGAAGAAGGATAACTGGGTTCCTGCAAATTTGAAGCTGGTCAACGCCGCTTCTTGTGTCAAGCACAATGGTGAGTGCCTTGCCCTTTTTGGCATTGATCTAAAATGTTTAGAGCCAAAGTGGTGGCAAAGAACTAGAGTCCATGTGTCCAGCACCATTCATGAGGTGCCGCCTGAAGTTGGAAGAGACTGAGCTTGGGGTTGTTGGCGCGCCCTGTGTCCTTTTCTCAGCGTGCGCCCGTCTAGTTTCATTTTCTGTCATCAAACCATGTGTTTCTTCCCAAACACAGGTATGGTCTACGTGAAGGCTTTGCAACAAAGAATGTGGACGTCAAACATGCCCATGACGTTTCGATGAAATTCCAACAGTCGACTCCGGTCTCTGTCCATGAGAATGTGCCGAACTATGATGAGGCCAGGTTTGAAGTTAGCGCCACCATCAAATCCAGCAATCTCACCAACATACATTATGATTTGATTGTGCCAGGACTACTTGCAGAAGCACCTCAAAAGCCATGATCAGCAAAAGGTGTTGTCAGGGCCCAAGATCTCAGAGCCCACTAATTCATACCAAACTAATCGAAGCAGTTGCTCCCAGGTTGTGTCCACGACAGTTCGGGCACCCCAACCGACGTCTTAGGGTGTGGCGCATCCTGTTTGACAAAGAAACGAAAAAATGGTCAGCAGACCGCAGTTTGGGGGAACTGGCCAATCTCATTCTGGCACCAATTGAGACCAAACCAGAGCTGGATTTCAACGCATACCTTTGGGCTTCCCCGAATGAGTTAGAAGGAAAGGCAGTGAAAGAAGAAGATCTGACCAGGTGCATTGTTTCAAAGTTTTCCTTGATATTTGATGTCACTGTTGGGTTTCATGTTCCCAAAAGTTTCACTTAGAAAGATGGCAGTTTCCCAGAATGTTCGTGATTCAATCTCAAATCTCAAAGGTAAATGATTCTGAAACATTGTAGGTTTAAATTGTTTCTGGTTTTTAGTGGCCAAGCTCCTGCCTGCAGGACACAGCAGAAGCACTTGCGCCTTTTTCGAGAGGCTCGTCCTGACAAGTCACTTTATGACTTGAGCGCGAACCCGATGAAACGATGCCGAACAGAGACTGTGGACAACTGCTTGCCCTGTCTCACAACAAGCTCGCAGTTGTGGCCACATGTCAACATACAAATGAGTTAGATTTTGTAGAAACAGTTTTTTTGGGTGGAACAGTTTGCTTGTTTTTGTTGGATGAAGCTGACTCGTTGTTATATTCATGTTGATGCTCATTTAAGGTCAGAGAAGGCAAAGCGCTTGATGCTGGGAAAAGAACAACTACATGCCCTGGGGTTTCCTTGCTCCACAAGGGGAGCTGCCGCTGCTAGGACTGATTCCTGGCAAAACCAATGTCCTGAAAGCAGCATGTAGGTACCAGCACTCGTCATTGTATGTTTAGGGGTTCGACTGTGGATCAAATAAAGCTGGCCTACCGAGGATGCTGTGGGAGTCGACTACCTGTCGGAGGCTGCGCTCCGAAGCATCTCAGGGAATGGGATGTCTCTTCCCTGTGCAGGTTTCATCCTGCTCATGACCGTGCTGTGTGTTTCAGACCGTTGTTGAACTGTTCCAATGGCTGGCAATTTCAAGTTTTCCTGTGTGTACCATATTTGGAGTAAATTCATGCACGAGTGCGCTACCACCGCCACCCTTCCAGAAACATTAGAACTTGAGTGGAAATAAAATCTGTTGCGTGGGCTTTGTTGCTGCCTTTCGCTGTGACACATGGGGCTTTTGCACCAAAAAAAATTGAACACCTGGACCTGGTGCACCAACAGACTAAATTCATCACCATATAAGTCGAAAAACAACAGTCGCATTTGCACTCTCAAGGCTTTTCAATGCCTCCTTTTGGTGCTGAGAAAGACGAACCATCTAGCAAACCTTTGCCGTTTTTGAACTTTAAAAGCCATGACTCAAGTGGGCCTGTGGCAGCAGGGAAGCTTGGCCCGTTTGGGGTGGAAGCTGCAGAGAGTATGCCTGGCCAATCCAGAAACCTTTCAGTCAAACCTTCCAGGAGATTTGAAGGGGGCTCTCATGCTTCTTTGGTTCCTGTTCTTAAGCGCCCATCAGAAACCAATGTCCTGTGGGGCGAAGAGCCAGCTGAAAGCGAAGATGTTGGAAAGGCCTCAGACTCAAGTTCGAGCGGTGAATCTGAGAACGCATACAGGGGGACTTCACGCACTGTTTTTTCTATGGGGTGGCATTCCATTTTGGATTTGAAGAGGGCCACATTCTGGAATGAAAAGGCTAGCCAACCAGCCCAGAAAAAACGAAGGTACAACAACACTGGGCGTGCTGCAGCTGCTAGCTATGCCAGGAAAAACATTGCAGGTTTCAAACAGAATGGGTTGGACCCAAAACGGTTAGAAGGTTTGACTGGATCTACCCAATGCCAGTGTTTCTTGGTGTAATCTTCTGGACGTGTTTGCATCAATTTAGTTTCTTTATGTAATTGATTACCGAATCTATCGATCTATCATCTATCCACCCAACAATCCATCCATCCACCTACCTACCTATCCTTCTATTAACCTGCCTGTCTACCTGTAAATATAAAAAGATAGATAGATACATATATATATATATCTACCTATCTATCTATATATCTATCTATCTATCTGTCTATCTATCTATCTATTTATCTATCTATCTATCTATCTATCTATCTATCTTTCTCTATCTTTCTTTTTTATCTATACATCTAACATTTATATTTATCTATACATATACCTAAACATCCATCTACCTCTCTACCTATCTGTCTATCGATCCATCTATCGATCTGTTTTTCCATTTCCATTTTGATTTCTAATTCCACTTCCATACCACACTTGTGAAATTCTTGTTACAGAATCTGAGGCCTCAAAGCCAGTACAGCATGGTTTTTAGTTGACCCTAGATTGGGCCATGTTGGGTCTATCCTGAGTCATAGCCGGGGGGTCGCAAACTTTGGCCAGTCTGTAACTAGGGGTCAGCTTAGCCTGCCATTTTGTAATAAAAGCTTATGTCTGTGAACATTGGGTTCTGTCATTTTGTAAGAAGTGCAGCTTGGGCACGCCACTCTGTACTTACAGAATGGTGCTCCCAACCCCTTGGGCCCAACCTAAGCCAGGGTATTTTATCCAGAGCGTTTGCACAGTCAGGTGCGTCCTCTGACTGAATGTTTGCACTTTCGGGTGTTTGCACTTTCGGGTGCATCCTCTGATTGACCTGCTCCAGTTCGACCTTCTCCTTCTCCCTGTGCTTTCCCCTCTCAGCCCTCTGGGTGTCTCTTATCTATCTATATATCTATCGATCTATCCATCCATCTATCTTTCGATCTATCTTTCTATCTTTTTGTCTTTCTTTCTGAGCCTATGTATCTCCATTGGTGTCCATCTAGGGATTGTTCGATTGAGCTATCTAACTATCTGCCTGTATGCATGTCGGTGTGTATGTCTGTATGGATCTTGATGCATATATGGATGGGTGGAAGGAAGGATGGAGGGATGTAAGGATGGATGGTTGATGGAAGGAAGGATGGGAGGATGGATGTTTGGATGACTTGTCTTGTCTTGTGATGGTATGTCAGGTCATGTGTTTGTAAATAGTTTAATGAGCACTTGCATATTATATGATTATTAACAGATATGTATATTTGCATGTGTATGCATGTATTTTCTGCCTATCTATTTAACTATCTATCCATCCATCTATCCATCAATCCATCCATCTACCTATGTAAACATGTTTGCATGCATGTATGTAAAAAGGCAAAATTGTAAACATGTATGCATGTATATATGCAAATGGCTTTGCACACCTCCCTCACGGGCTTGGCCGATTGGTCCTAGACCCATCGGAGCACATCAGCCTAGGCGCCAATGGACTTTGTTTCAAGCAGTTCCAGAACTCGAAGGAGCTTCCGTCCTTTCTGAAATCGTTTTGGGAGCTACAAAAGTCAGATCAAGATTCCTTTGTTCCAAGGCCTTATTTGTTTTTTTACTGGTGTCATTCCATGTTGGCTGCCTCCATCCTTTCAAACTCTAAGCCAGAAAATCTTAGATCAAGGGATTTGCTGCAAGATTGGTCCTTGCCAAAGGAATGATTCAAGCCTAAGGTTCAACTATGCTTGGCCACCACCAATGACAACCGGGACAAGCAGTTCACTCTCCTTGATAAACCTGTTGGCTTCAAATGTTTAGCAGCGCTTTTGGGAGTTGGGACTGGTAGACTCCGCCGCGGGATGTCAGGTGCACCAGACCTGAGACATGGACAGCGTCCATACATGAGTAAGGCATCCACGTGGAGTGTTGATGGTTTTCTACGCATCGCATACGATGCTGTAGCAGAGACCCTGCCGGACCAGCTTCTTGGTTTTGTCTCATTTATTCTCGGACTTTTGGTTGAAAACAAACCCTGAAAACTGATCCAGCTTAAAAGTTTGCAAATTCCATCTCCAAGTGGTACAGGTTCATAAGAAGAGGCAGGGCATCGAAGAAGAGTGGTGACCTAGATAGTGATTCTGATGAGGGTGGTGATCAAATAGCCTCTGACATTGAGAATGCTGAGGAGGTTCGCGAATGGCTTTCCACTACCTCTGCCAAAAGCCCTTTTATGCCGAATCAGGTTCTGGTCCAGAAATTTCTACCGCCAGGGAATGTGATGGAACTGTACGAAGAATACAAGGCGACTCAACAAATGCTTGGAGGGCATCATGTATCGCATCTGGTCTTTTACCTTTCGATGTGGACAAACCATGTCCCATCCACACAGATTAGAAAGCTTCTGGAACCCAGAGTAAGCTGTGAGATTTTAAGGATTGTAAACCTTTCTACTGCAGGTGGGAACGAATGGCAAACATCATACATAAATAAATACCTATGTATATATATATATATATGTAGATACACAAGTATTTACACATGTAAGTGTGTATATATATATACACGCTTTCAAGTCATATAATCTGACTTGCCTCCCCTGAACATTGAAGACTCGGCATTTCTCAGGTACACCACTTTCAACAAGGTGTACAAGGAGAGATGGTCTGACATATTGAGGTTCCGAGCCCGCTCGCTCTTCACATCTTGTGAAGTGTGTTGTGCCTTCAAGGCTCAGCTGCAAGACCGGTCGCTGACTTTTGAGCAAAAATTAGGATGCCTTCAAGGATATAGGTCGCACCTTCATGACCAGTATTGCGACAGAACTGTGATATGGACTCTGCAAAGCGAGGGAAGTGATCCTAGATCATCGATTCTACTTATTTGTACTGATGGGCTTGACCAAGCCAAGTTCTCATTGCCAAGAGACCCTCAACTTCGCTCCAATGCCGGGTTGACCTTCAGCTTTACCAGAAAGTTTATTGTATGTCACCCCTGCTATGTAGATTTCTCCCTGTTAAGCACTAGTGCCTATCATGTCCTCTGCTTCCTGCCGTCGATCTCAGGGCCAAACACCAGCGGCCACGATTGAAGATCCATGGATGCTGGGCCTACGGATATGTTCTCAAAATATGGGTGATGGATGAGCCAAGTCGACATGACAGCAGTGCGATAATTGAAATGGTTGCCAGGACAATTGAAGAAGTATCTGAGAAATTGATTTATGCAACTTTTTATGCATTCTTTGTTGCCCAATGCCTTCTACACCATCCATGCATCAGATGGTCCATCTTTGATGAGCAGCAAATCAGGTAATGTCGATCTGTGATCGGGAGAACCGTCGGAGACCGTCTGCGTTGATTCTCAACGCCCCTTGACTTGGACAAGCAAATGTTGGGAAGTTCAAGCACGGTGGAAATCGTACCATGACTATTTGTTTTCTTTGTGGGGCCTTTTTTGTTGGTAAGACTATGCCATGATCAGGCAGACAATACCGTTCGCGAATGCAAAAACCAGCATGTCTTGACATACCTCCATTTACTTAACGCTCATCACCGCTTCAGAACAACATGCCTTTGTCATCTCCGAAAAAGCCACACACATTGTCGTGTGGGTGACTTTGACAAGTCTTGGTATTTTTTCTGTTTCCACATGTAGGCACGCTAGTAGAGCCAAAAAATAATGGGATCCTTTTCTCGGCAAACCACTTAGATCAGCTGTGGGGAATATTGAGTAGACGAATAGCTCATGAAAGTGGTCTTCTCGATCCTGGCGATGTCATGACGGCTATTTCTTCTGAGTTGTCAAAGCCAACTATGAAAGACTGGATTGGACGTCAAACACAGGTATCAGTCCAAAAGCTAGATGCAACACGGAGCTGGAGATCACTTTTACCAGGAACAGGCGTTAAACTAGAAGGTGGCTTACTGAAGGATGAGACTGGTAATCATCTTTTCTTGTGCATGCAAAGAAGAGGCACGAGATTAGCCAAATCCTGTTTCAAAGTTTAGCATATGTTTGGTTCCTGGTCCTATCTAGCTGGGGTCCCTGGCCCCTGAGACCTTCCTGAAGCTCTGGCCAACATGGTGAATTCTGGAAGCTTTCGTGGGATAGCGAATCCTCATGATGTGGTGTCCTTGATCAAGAAGCACATCTGTGACCCAACTTTGTCACAACCCCCTCTGCTGGTTCTCTCCCACCACCGAGCCCTGGGGCTGGCGCCAGTCCCAGCTGAAAAGATACTTTGCTACAAGAGTTTCCAAATTGGTTTGCTTCCCAAGTATTGGTTTGCTAAGAGTGGTGGGGAATCTAGCGCAGGGAATACTTTGAGATAAGCGAAGTTTAAAGAAGGGACATCAGAAAATGTTTGGGTACCCTAGCCTTGGGGTGAAAAAGCTAAGGTGGCCAAACAACCACACTGCGAAGTGGGCTTCTGATATCCAAAAGCTGGCTGCTTCCGTGAAATTCTTTTATGGGCATCAATATGACCGAAGCATTTGCTATTTGGAGAGTTTGGCAGCCAATTCTTTTTGGCAAAATGCTGAGCTTCCAGACCTTCCGTTTCACACTCAACCACTCCAACCTCAAGGGCTGGGGGGGCCCCAGTATGTTCTCCATGAAGCTGTATTGAATGCGATAGCGCCAGCTGTCCCTTTAAGGGCAATTTTTGGTGGGAACAGGAACCAATAGTCACAGTTTCAGTTGCCAAAGGCATATCTGGAAGAAATATCCAATTCAAAGACTCCCAAAATCAAATTCAGGAAGCGGGATAAAACAAATTGAATTCAAGCTTGCTGGGTTCAACGAGTGTCAACACTTTTCGGTGCACCAGAGCGGGTTTTGCAAAGGCATATCTGGAAGAAATATCCAATTCAAAGACTCCCAAAATCAAATTCAGGAAGCGGGATAAAACAAATTGAATTCAAGCTTGCTGGGTTCAACGAGTGTCAACACTTTTCGGTGCACCAGAGCGGGTCGGTCAACACTTTCCGGTGCACCGGAGCAGGTCGGTCAACACTTTTCGGTGCACCGGAGCGGGTCGGTCAACACTTTTCGGTGCACTGGAGGGTTTCGGTCAACACATGTCGGTGCACCAAGGGTATCCCAACACAAGAGATCGGTGGTGTAGTTGCCGGAGAGTTCGCTGAAACTGAGCTCCTTTGAGTCCATTGAAATCGGTCAACACTTTTTGGTGCACTGGAGGGTTTTGGTCAACACATGTTGGTGCACCAAGGGTATCCCAACACAAGAGATCGGTGGTGTAGTTGCCGGAGAGTTCGCTGAAACTGAGCTCCTTTGAGTCCATTGAAATTTATTCCCATGTCTAAGAACAGGATCAGTGAACTGGTGGGGAACCAGACCATTGAACATATTTAAAAAAAATGTCGAGGTTCGATTTTTTTTAACTTCCCAAAAAAAAAATTGAACCTCGCCTTTTTGAAAGAAAGGGATCAGTGCACTGGCCCACAACCACACCACTGAAACCATGTTGAGGATCTGAAAACGGTTTCAGTGCACTCTGTGGATGTCAAGCGATGATCTTGCAGGATTTTGTGGCCCTCAGGATTCCCAGTCAATTCGTCATGGCAGTGACACCTTTCAAAGCAAAGGCTGAGGAAAGAGCGAAGTTGTGCAAGAAGGATGAAGAGTCCCCTGATCGTCCTGCCAAGCGCATGTGCAACGCGTACGAGAAGCAGATTGCCAAAATGCCCACTGGTGATCTGACCACTGCCAAGGAACACCCAGCGTTTCCTCTATCAATGTATATATATATATACATGTACATGTATACACACATATATATATATATATAAGAAATGGTGTCTCTTTGAAGAAATCAGGATGCTCATTTTTGAACAGCCAGTTTCGAACAATCGCTCTCATCCCCATGATGACATTCTGTGTCCACATCATTTGTTTGGTGATACTTGTTGGAAAGATGCAATTTGGATTAATGTAAAAGATGGGAACCCTATTGCCAAGCTTAGCCATGGACAAAGCTTTTACAAGTTGGGATGTTAAACCTGGAACGATGGTGGTTATATGTCAACTTATTGCTTGGGAAGGATATGTACCACCAAAAATGGGTAGATAAGGCACTACAACATTTTTGTACATGTGTCACCGAACATTGGGGATAACACAATATAACATTTCCATCACCGCATCTTTTCAACTTGAAGCCAGGACCTGCTGGAGTATGTGGGTTCTTTCCGCGGTGAAAATGCAATTCCTGGCTCTCACCCTGCAGCCTTGGTGGCTGAACTCTTTGCCAGCAGCAATGACGAGCACAACACGCTTCACTGCCAACAGCTGGAAGCCTGGTATAGTGAATATGCCACTGCTGTGCGCAAAGCACCATACCTCTTCAAGAAGCCTGAGTCCATCGCCCCTAGACTGGGCTAATGATGTTTTTTTTTTGGCGGGGGGGGTGGTTTTCATGAACCACACAACCATGTGGTGGTACAGCCCATGCGGCCCTGAGGTTGTTGACCCTTCCATGAACGACGAGACGATCAAGGTTCCAGTGACTTGTCTCAAGTATCTCGCCTGCTGATTGAATAAGCCTTTTGACACTTTGCCCTCACCTAAAAATCTGTTCCCTACCTATATGTGGTTTGTAATTCTCACCCTTGTTTGTTTCCCCTTTGTTCTCCATCGTGGGCCAGGTTCTGTCCTCCAGAGGATGGATTTCCAGTATGCGAAGATTGGATCGGCACTTTCGAGAGCTTTATGTTCGGAGGAGTGGAGCTTGGAAGAGAGCCATTGGATGGCTCGTTGGAGCTCGTCACAGGCCTGTATATTGATTCCAAACTTTTTGTTGCACCCAAGTTCTTT